CTTGGCATTCTGCTGAAACTGACTTTGGAGGCGGTTAGGTAAAGTTAGGTTAGGTTAGTTTATGATGGTTAAAAATATCTTTTAACTATCATAAACTAACATAACCTAACTTTACCTAACCGCCTCCAAAGTCAGTTTCAGCAGAATCCCACAGGAAAGATAACCTGACTTTGGGGGGCGGTTAGGTAAAGTTAGGTTAGGTTAGTTTATGTTGGTTAAAAACATCTTTTAACTATCATAAACTAACCTAACCTAACTTTACCTAACCGCCTCCAAAGTTGGTTTCTGCAGAATGCCAAGGAATGGATGAAAATTTGCTCATAATTTGTTGGGATTATGAACTATGGGCCACCAGCACAAAGTTCGGGCGTGGAACCCGTTGACCCCGCAGTCGTTCAGTGGGCTCCACGGAGGAAAGCCAGTCCATGAACACCCGCACGTCGAAGGACAATCTTGCTGTTCGCCATTCGTTATGTTTGACTGCAATATGGTTGTGTTCATTCATTAATTTTCTGAATGTGTCGCGGCATCACGATGTCATTCACCTGTTTCGTCACATTCGACGTGTTCATATCATCCCTTGATACAACATATAATTTAATGCCAATTGTTTTCGCCACTCACGGAATACAACCTGTGATCGAAACAAGCTTTTGCTGATGTGTATGTTCATGTGTATCGTCGGTTAGAGCGAACCTTGCCTCAACATTTTTGCGAATGTCGGGAAATAATCGTTAGTCACAACTTTTTGAATGTTCCCTTAGTTCAGTTATTATGTCGAAGAACATCAATTATACGTTCTCTGATTGAGCTGGCATCCGCTTAACAGGGCCCATATTTTGAATCATTGCAGTAGAACGTAGCGGCCCGCATGTTGTGAATTTTTAACTTGAGCCGCATCATTTCCTTGTGAGGAAAACGCTTTTCAAAGGTACCTATATTTTTTTAGGCGTTGAAAATACTGTAACGTAATTTTCTTTTTATTTGATTGTCTGGGATGTTGAGAATTTTGGCGAAAGGACCCAGTTATCAGCTCAGACGTTCAGAGTTCTACGGTAATTACATAATATTTTCATGAGTCTCATCATTTTTGGATATAGATAGAAACGGAAATTTAAAAATTCGATGAACTACCTTAGTATAAGGAATCGTATGTCGCATGTCTCGAAATATAAGTAGAGCGTTGCGTATATGATACTAGCCAAAAATGAACTAACTTGCCATCAATAAATTATATATCAGGAACAGTATAGAAATGATCAGAAATTGCGTAGACGAGGTCATCGCTCCTTCTGCTGTAAGTTATTTCATATTCCGGTTTGTAGTTGATTTTCTTTCTTTCGCCTCTCGTTTCAGATGCCATATGTTGTTGTAAAGGGGATTTTAAATGTGCCCAGTGCTTCCCAACACGTTCAAAACCGTGAGAACAAAGTTCTTGTTTGTGGTTTAAAGCCTGAAGATTTGGTTGCTTTGAAGAAGGTTTTTAAGGAATGGACATCGGTGGATGTGAGCGGTATTAGCACCGTGTGCTACAATTATCACCCCGTCACTTTGCTGAATGCTTTGGAGGTAAGAGTCATGTTTTGACAATAAAAAATATTATTCGTTGCAGTTTTGTTCTCGCCATAAGTTTGTAGAGTACAGTAATTTCAATAGCCATTCTGAAATCTTTAACTCTGCTTGAGTACCATTAAGGACTTCGGATTTCCGTTTTTAACGTTTCCGAAGCACTTTTGTACTTCACGACANTTAAGCAAAGCAAAATTTTGAAAGAAATGACACGAAGAATTACCCTGTGTTGAAAATTAATTTTGGCTTTGATTAAAAAAATTTCCCATTTCCGAATTTGATTTTCTTGGCAAAGGAATCCTTCTTAAATAGTTTCTTGGGTAAAAATTGAATACTTCATAGAATAGCTGCGTATGCATCCCTTACACGCCTGTTGGAAACAGTTAAAATGTCGTAAAATACATAGTATTGCTGAGAATATTCGATTGTATGTTTCCGGAACTCTATAACGTGATTCTCAGGCTAATTAGGTTTTTTCAAGTTTTGAAAACTTCACGTCGCCAATCGGCAGATCATCTTCCAGCTTTTGAGAGTAAATGCATTTTTGTTCATTTTCATTGACAAGATGAAATCAGCTCTGATCAAGACGGTCGGGTATTCGCTTCCGTATAATTTAATTAAACCTGAATTTTTTTAGCGATGAAAACTCATACTTTTTTCTAAGTATTCATCATGTTAAATGACTGCAACATTTATTGTGGAATAAAAACCCAGAAAATACAATCATTTCGAAACGCAGTAAGAAGGTTTTGTTCAGAAAGTAGTCTTCTCTGACCGAATTCAAATTTTCGGCATTCGTGTTTTTTCAGATGTAGTATTGCAGCGTGAACAAGCATTTCTCACAACATTTTTCAGAGGTAGGTAATAGGTCATATTTTTCAATGCCAAAAGAAAAGGGTAAATTAGCTTGCCAAATGAAAATAAGGAACAAACCTGATGTATTGAAGAAAACCGAAATTAACTTTTATGCAATCTTTCAAAAGTTTTCGTTGTAAAAATTTCGTTGTTCGAAGAGCAGGGCGACATTTTTCTACATATTGTATGTACAGATTGAGCCTCGACTTGGGGAATAATCCGTTGAAAGGGATATTTTGTTATAATGTTGTTTCTTTGAAGAAATTGCTGTCCATGGACCATTGGTAATTTAATTACCCTCTTTTGAATATTAGATACACCGTCAAGAATGAGTGGAATGAAGACGACATTCTTAACAATAATTATTCATTCTTCTCACTTCTCACCTTCAAACTGTAGTAGTAGTGCTGGAGATTGACGGTTGTTGCAGCGGTTTGAAAAATCAAGTACAGAGCAGTGAGGGCGGAAAGCGGTCGTCGATACTTCTTCATCGGAAATTTATGCTGTTGCAAAGTAGAATTCATCAGAAAACACTTTCCTTTTCTCAATCGTAAGTTTATGTTAGAAATGAATTACACGTGGAACACGACTTACGTCAGGAAGTTCATTTGGGTCCCCGAGTCTTGCAGTACCCGGATGCCAACCGGGTCCCTTCAGAACTGCCCAAACTTTGTCCATCAACGTCGGCATTGCTTTGATTTTATTCCAGATGTGCGCGTAATGACCACCCTATGAAACAGAACGTTTTATCGCCTAAAATTAACTCGTCAGGTGTTGAGATGAATTTGACCCCGTATAATTTGCATTCTTTTTACCTGGACTGTCCAGGGATTGTAGCTGGCAACAGGATGAGTCAAACCGTAAACAACTCTGTCGTTCTCGGCCGCGAACGTCCCGAAGGCTTTGTCCCAAATTATGAGGCAAGCCCCGTAGTTCTTGTCGATGCAGTATCGGTTTGCTCCTGGAAATTGACGAAACTTGAATTATCGGCAACAAAAATATGTGAACATGAATTTGGTATCGGAGGAATGCTCTCTTCGGCATGTACGGTATCATGTCCGCGAAATAAACGAGATACCGGACGATCTGATGGGTTTGAACCATGGGTTGGTTCAAAGGTTTCGCTTTATACATTATATATATATATATACAGTATATATATATGCTGTATATTCAATTTTTTTCAAATAGGAAGTTTTTTGGCTGCAAAATTTTTTTGTTGTGGTATTACAACGATTTTTAGCGATATTCTGCGAACGCGCTGAATGTATGTACCTGTACACTATTTTATTTTATTTTTTGCCGCCTTGACTTGACCAAAGTTGCCCACCAACTTACATCTGGACCACCTTCAAAGCTAGCTTTTTTGGCACTAAAATTAACAAGATTAAAATTATATAATTAGAACATAGAACCTAAGAATCTCTGTCAGCATCACTGTTGACATTTTTAAATTGCAGTACAGTAATTTTCTTTATTTGACGTATTGGACTGCCTGTAAGTTCATGATGAAAAATTCCAATGTAGCAGATAATATTTTCCATACAAGTATGTGCACTACAATCCCTCAATTTCAACCTGAGTAAGCTTGAGTTAAAACAGTGGTCAGAAGATGATCAATTATGACCGTAAAAATACTGTAATGACCTCACATGTCCATGCATTCAACGCAATACTGAAGAAACTCGAGGACCAATAGTCTCATTCTTGCCAGCTATATTAGTTTATCGTGCTTGGCGAGATAATGAATAGCATCGGATGTTTTTGATAAGAAATCTGAACATTATTTTTCAAGATACAATATTAATATTTTCTGTTCTAACCGGAAGCGCCAAAGCTCAAGTATTATGCAATTGGTAGTTTTTTTTGTGACGCTTCAACGTATCCCAGACACTTCCTTGAATGAATGAAATATAAATCACGGTGAGTAAAAATATCAGGTATTATAAATTTAGAATAGAAAAATGTCGCGGTTGCTCCACCGCGAGATAAGTCCTTGAAAAGTCAAGATTTGTGTCAAGTCCGAAGGGAAAAATTGCTTCACCATGGTCAAGATTTGAGAAAATGTTCCTCTTTGCCTGATTTTTTTTACGTGCTTTTCTAAAATTTTGTGTGATCAATTGAGAAATGAAAAATACTGTAAAAACATGAGCTTGAATGTCGTTCGGTCAAAGGGAAGATGCGACCGCGAGCTCTTTATCTTATCTCGTGTATCTTCGATAACTTATCCAAGACTTTTTTCAATTTGTCCTAAACGAAGAGTCCAAAAGAATTTTAGATACTGTAATGGAGATTACTGTTCCTCCTCTACCAGGCCAAATAGATACAGTGTTCCAATAATGTTCAGTTCTGTCCCACGTTGAATCAGCCAACCGCTTTACCGTGATGTACTCTGTGATGACTCGGTGTCATCAGCACGTGTTCCAAGAAGCCAATTGAAGTGACTTCTTCGGTGTGAATCCAAAATTGGTACAGCAAATTGAGCTGGTAGTGAACGACGAAGTGCGTCGGTGGGAGATACGCTGCCATCGGGAAGTAGACGAGCTGTAAAAAAGTGGGAATAGGCTCTAATATAATCTTACTTATGAGAGCTCAGTTTAGAACTTACGATAATTGGGATGTTCTGTGTGATGCTTTGCCGCAAAGCCGTGCTCAGGTTATATTCTTCCGAGCTGTGGTGCACTTGATGCGCTGCCCATAAAACGTTTATTTCTGTTGCGGAGATTCGGAAAAAAGATATGTTTCACAAATGCTATACAATATTCCAAGGCATGGGGTACAGTACTGTACTTCATTCATTACTGCACAATTCATCATGCGAATACGTGTATTGCGCACTTTCTCGCTCATCAACTCGCTAACAATTAGTCTGCCTCATAGAAACCATGGCGTTTTTTTTTTAAATGTAGTAATTCCAAGGGTTGCCTTCAGGTCTTCCAAGGCAATTCCGCCATTTTCATCGACAGCCGCCTTCACAACCGCCAAAATGGTCGTGAAAAAAAGAGAAAATATAACTGCTGACCGTAGATTTTTTCAACGATAACTTCTTGATTTGTTCGTCCTTTTCACATGGTGAAAAAATTGGGTACCATGGAAAATAAATTCAAAAATACTGCTTACCGTGATTTGCCCGATGAAACCAGTAATAAAAGAAGTCCAGTGACAATGCCCCCAGCAGCCAGGTAAACATTGAATCGATGGGGAGATCCACGAGACGATAATTGTTATAGAGCCAAATGTATACCGTTGTTGTGAATCCGCGTGTTGCTGCTCTGTAGTACAGTATACGTTTTTAACTATTCAGTGGTCGTAGTGAAATGATGAGAAACTTCTGCATTTTGTGGCTTTTTTTTTTTTTTTTTTTTTTTTTTTTTTTTTTTTTTTATGTTTTTTTTTTTTTTTTTTTTTTTTTTTTTTTTTTGCTACATGGGAATCGATTTTAGAATTGTTATGGAGATACAGGTGCGAAATTGTGCTGATCATCTCGCTGACACTTCCTTCGAGAAGTGACACTGATTACTCTTGCTTTGCTTTTGTCAATGATGTCGTTGTGAGACTTCGTTTATGCAGTATCTCAAATCGCTTGGAACAAATAAACTAGCTTCGGCTATTATTTCTACCTCACCTTGTAAGAATGAATATTAATTAAATCATTCAGAGTCAGGAGACTTATGAATCATACAAAATCCCTGTATTTAAAAATTCTGTGATCGAATTTCTAGTGCAATAATATTGTGTATACTGTCCTGTACATGATGTAAATTTATCAATACTAAATGATAGTAATACTTCACGTGATAACGCATCACCTCATGCATTAAAATAGATAAAACTTGATAAGGATTCATCATTGCATAAGCATGACCAGTGCAAAGCAAGTGCACTCTAGGTGTAAGACAAGTGAAAACATCCAAAGCCAACAATCAGCCGAGAAATTTTATGACATTCTTTGGCATTTGCAACACATTTTTACCAATATCATACTTAGTGGGTGTGATTGCCCTTATCTCCCTACTAACTTTCTGAATTGAAAGCTAAAGATTAAATATAAGAAACTAAATATGTCAATCGGTAAATCTAAAATAGGGAACATTCTGAGATTTCAAACCTGAAAACTTCTTGGAGCAGACCAGCGTAGAGAGATGTCACGGTATCTGCATGATTAACTTCATGAGGCGTTCTTTTCCTCATGACCCGCAGCATTTTGTAAGATAATTCAATGATCATTCCGGTGACGAAGACTGGTATTGCCTAGAAAGTAAGAAATAGCATTACAGTTCCGTATACTAGACGTCTGGTCACGAAGGAATTAGATCGCATACCAAATCGACGTAATTTGGGACATCCTTGACGTCGAGAAATGTGGAGTCTTTCGGATCGATCGCGTAGAAAAGGTAGCCTAACCTTTGTAGACCATCTTTCACACCACTTACAATGGTTTCGTTTCCGTATCTCATCTCCAACTCCATTGTATTTTTCTGGTGTTATTCTCTGTTTGCAGATAGATAAATACGCTTTCTAACTTCTAAGCACCGACGAAGTGCGGAAGTAAAATTAATTTCAAAGGACTCATTTAAAATATTTTAATGACTTGCTGATCAGGATCATTTGTCCTTGATATAATTTTGATCGGTCAATTTGAAATTTAAACTGAAAGTATGTCTATGCTGGGTACACCATTTGAGGCATTCCTTGCTCGGATAATAGAAATAACCTTTGATTGGGGCCAACAATATTGTAGGTTTCACTATATTGTAGGTTTCACTATAATTTAAATGGTTTGTCTCAACCAATCCCGAGTGTGCATTTTATGACCAAAATCGCAGAAAACCAGATCCATCCCCATGAACATTTTGCATCTGCCCTCGGTATACAGTATTTTGTAAACCCGTGATTATTTTTTAGCCGCGAAAAACGACAAATTTTGCTGTTGAAAAAAACGAAAACAAAAATTGATGCAATATCCCTACCAATTTTTCTATCAAGCTAAAGAAATTGGATTGATTCGTTCAGAAATCATGTTCCGAAGTACAGTACTGTACAGTATTTCATTGAAAGCACGTGTATGTGTGAGCGTGTGACAACCGGTAATTTCTGCTGGGAAGTTTATTGGGATCATTAAATTGTGCACATGCCGGAGTTCGGCTCTTTTTTTTTAACTTTTCGAACTAGAATTAATGTCCGTATTTTGTTGCATTTTCCCGCTTGTTTTAGTGCTCAGATCCTGTCCATCATATTGAAAACGTTTCTATGCCCCCAACGGTTATGCATCAACTTCTTGACCTTGTTCAATCGGTGCTAGCTCTTGTTTATATTTTCTCTCTCAAAATCTTGGCTTTTTTTGGTGCTTGCTCTTATGATTTAAAACTCTTTCCAAAAAATTATCCACTGGGTGCTAAGAAAATGAATCATAGGTTGAGACGAATTAAGAGGAAATAACGTTGGCAATAGTTTTTAGGGCCTCCGATTTACTTGACAGGTTTCAAATTCTCGAAAAAATCCAAGGATTCACTGCAAGGCAGCAGCTCGTTGAGGAACATCAACGTGTGGAACCCAGTTTTTCGGTTGCTTGATTCACTCGATTATATTCCACTTCTATGGTGATGGAGCAGATGTGAATTTTTAAATGACGAAAATGCACAGATTCCTTTTGGTTCTGATAAACAGCGTATCGTACAGAGCTTGATTTTTTTTTTAAATACACAGGTGTGTTGAGACAAACGAACACACAAATTTTAAGGCTATAGTGCAGTGAAGTAAGTGAAATCTTTGACTTATCTGTATCAATGACGGGATGTTTTCTTCGAGCTGATATAAGAAAAGATCGGATTATCAAAATTGAGAATTTTTATATTCTCTAGGAGCTAGGTGGTAAACGAGGATTGTGAAACAGTTTATTGTAATTTTTTTGCACAAGGAATCAACTTGGTCATTTTTTCGGCCGCAAAGTGGGCTGTGAACAAGCACTGAACTTCTGGCGGATGATGTTGCCTGGAAAACTTGATTTTGAAGCGAATTAATTTCGTTTCTCCTTGCGAAAAATCAAGTTTGCTTTTTTTTTTTAAGAAAAGGTTTTTCGTCGTTTTCTTGAAAAGAAAAATGGCAGACCAACACGAAGGCGCATGATGATTCCAAAAGGAAACTTGCCTTTAAATTAATTCCGATTTTGAAAAGTTTATTTTATAAAAAAAAAGACTAAAATTCAAGAAATGTTGCCATTTTTGTTTCTGTTCAGAGAATTTTTTCTTTTTACAAATTCTTCGCAAAATATTTAATATTTCTATCCCTCTTAATTGAGTTGACGAAATTGTGAAATTAAATTAAATTAATTCAAAACGCAGTATTGCACTGTACTGAATAGCAGTTTCCACTTTCAGTTTCCACGAAACGATTCTCTCCTTGGAGTCCCCTACTCCGAGATTGTGAACGCAACTTCGAGTCCATCTAATCATTCAAGTGACTCCAGATGTCAAGATGGATTTGTATTGAAAGTGTTAGGGTAGTCAGAATTCAAATATAATGTAATCAGTTTTTTTTTTTTTGCAAGAGTTGAAACACGCCAAGCTGCATTATTTGCAGTGCACTAATTAGAATTGTAGTCAACGATGGAACATTTCGCGAGTCAACATGAAAATGTTCCATGACTTCACCTGTTGCGGACGTGTGTGAAAATGCAATCGCACCCGTAAGATATTGTATCACTTTCCACGCGCTCACTTTTGGAGTTCGAAGCAGCGGATAAGATAAAGTGGGACTTGAAAATATCCCATTTTTCATCACAGAATCTTGCACCTTCGCCGAGGGTCCTCTGGCAGTTTGAGAACGCGATTTCACCTTTTGCGCATCTCTAAAATCTAAGTTTTTTCTTCTCGATTTATTTATAAGGTCGACTCTTTAAAGGTAGCTTGCAGTTAGGTCAACGGAAGGTCAAGTGATGACAAGATGAAGACAAATATACTTGGATATGCCTTAAGTCGTAGGTTTGAATATATATATTTTTTTTATTACAGTATACTGTACCAATTTCAAGACTTTGCGGTGTTCGTGTACGGTATTGCCTTTTGATTTTTATATCAGGTATTTCTACGATTCTCGCACAACATTACGCGAATCAATTTCTCAAACTTGCACTTATGTCCTTTTCTGCACTCATCAAGTGACAATTCCATCCGATTTTCGTCCAGGTTTGTACCAATTTACGATTTCCTGAAATGCCTTCTCTTGACTGATGCCCGCGTACCGAAATAATGTTTGTACTGTAATGAACCCTGCTTTCCAGTATCTGCTCTGTTGAAATTGTTTTGTGCTCTCGTTCTGACCCGTTGTGTCTACTTTTGTGGGAGGAGAGAGTTCAGAGAATATGTTCGGGGTTCCGGGTGACACCAGCTCGATTTTTACGGGTTGTTCGCGCCTCAGGGTCGCGGTTGTGTCGGGCAGCGAGGTACAACTGATGAGGAAGCGTTTTATTTCTTGAGGGGTATGTTTCGGGAAGGGTCAAGCCCTCTTTTCTTTAGGGGGGCGGTCCTGTCGCGATTCATAAAACTATCGATTTCCTCAAGCATTGAGCAGCATTTTTTCCCGGTTATTCTTCGACTGTATATGTATGAATTACCCTGATCGAAACGACCACAAACGCCTACCTGTGAACGTCGCAGTTGTTCCGAGAAACGCTGTCGCGGGTGGTGCAAAATTGATGGATGTGCGTGATAATTATGAAGAACTTCTGGGGTTTTCTTCAATTCACTTGAACAATCACACACTGGTGTATTTAACATATGATTTATTTCACATTTAATTGACTACTCTCCTTGTTTCGATCCTGTCGATCGGTGTTATTTTAGACTTCACACGCTTTTCATCTCGCTCCTGGCTGATGGTTTGGAAAATATAAAATTTTAATGCACTGTACTTCTTTGTGTCTTATTTTCAAATTTCCGTCAAAAGAATTAATTGAGTAATAATATCTGCATACATTTTTAATTTTTCTTTTTGTGTCACTCTATTGTAAAATAAATCCGTCTTTTATGCTGATCTTGCGTGTTCTTGGATTAAAAGTTGAGTCTCTTGAAGCCCCGATTTCTGGACGTCAATTAGACGATAATTGGGACATTTGAACTGCAGTCAATCATTTTGTTGGTCCTTGTTCAGGTACCGAAATTTAAATATGAAGAGACTATATTAGTTCTTTCAGATGTTTAGGCCTCTCCATTTTTTGGAGAAATCATTTGTTTCTGCGGAGAGAAAAGTTGAAAAAATGACTTTTAAATTCTGGGGATATTACGGGTTTCAGCTGGGTTGTTGGTGTGCTCATATCTGTTGATCCAGAAGCCCCTCGAGCAGCTGTCTGTATACAAGTACACACCGAAGTTGACTTGTCTAACACTGCTATTTTTCGTGAAGATGCCAGGTCGGGCAAAAACTTATTAAACTGACCTGATTTGTCGCAGGCCGAAAATCCGAGAGTACTAATTTCCTTTCTGAAGCTATAATGGGTGCTTGAAGCTCACTCAATTCAGGAAGTCAAAAACTCCGAGTTGGATTTGCGATACGGTATTACACAGAAATTTTAAATGGTCCTTCGAACCGGATTCACAGTAAAGCGAGTGATAATTGAAACGCGCTAATAATATTGTGCTTCGCCCGAAGGAATCTTACAAAGCCTGGCAGCAAGGCTTGCTAGACCCTCCACTTGGTTAATACGAATGACTCCGATTAACTGAGGGAAGTGTATCACTCATTTGAATCAGTCGTGATGATGCTCAAGATGAAACAATGCTCAAGTTCATCTTGATATCATTGTACTCTTGGAACTGATAAAAAACTAAACTTCCAACTGATGTTCAAACAAAATTCAATGAACTGGAAAAGAAAGATGCGATTACGGTACCTGAGGCTGGCAGCCAGCTAAAATCCATGTTGCAGCGAATCATGAATACATGAACGGCCTGGAAGGACTTTTTTATTGTTAGAAGGATAAAAGGAAACTGCCAGAAAAACATGTTTTAAAAACTACAGGGAGCAGTGGCAATAATGCAGAAAATTGAAGCTAAGATGGTGACAGCAGAAGCAGAAAAAGAGAGTACTGTAGTTCTATAAAATAGTTCTAGTCCATTCCATGACTAAGTCTTATTTTGCTAGAAACACGATATCATGCTGGCAGTGGAAATAATTTAGTTATTCTTTGTAAACATCGCCGAGATTTCATGAAAAAAAAAAAAACTCATGAAATTCTTCATCGCTTTATGTAAAAGTTCTGCGCAAAAACTAAGCACTCCAACTAAAAATGCATCCTGATCGCGTCGAAAATATTTTCGAAATTGTGTTTTTTTTCTTCTTCTAGTTGTTTAATCTAGGGAAGATCAGCCGCTGACTTGAGAGGGGGAAAAACTTTGAATGACTATTTCAGTTATACGTCCCAATTTTGTCAAAGCAGTATTACCAAGAGTCCCCAACTCCCAAGATTTTCCGTGCAAACGTTCCGATTGTATTCATGAAATTTATTCAGTTGAAACGTCCACCTCGATGATTTCATTTTCGGAAAAATACTGGCATAAGACCAGTCTTATGGAAACCGAGGATCTAGTTCATCAGAATTTTTTTTCTTCAAAAATATGTATGCACATGTGTATGGTGAATGCAGTACAGTACTGTAATGTAATTTATATTTTTTCATAGTACTTTAGCTAGATTTATGCACTTTTCACGTTAGATGACGCGCTAGATCGACACTTGGTGATAGAAGCCCCTTATTCGGTCAACATTCTTGGCGGAACTTCTTCGCACTGTTGGATTCTCAGGTCGACTTGCTTTTCGTCCCTGTTGCAGTATTTTTTGTTTAGGCCGTGACCTTCGTGAGTTCCTTTTCATTTTAATATCCCACCCGCGGGCGAAGATTTTCGTGAAGTGGAAGTCAAGTTTTTTTTTTTTTTTTTATTTTAGAGCGAAGTCGAATAAATGCGAAAATCAGCTGCTCGTTTCATCAGCGAAGTGTTGCTTCAATTCTTTGCTGAAACTCTTTTCGTGAATCACAGTGTTCAGAGCGGTGGAGGCACAGTTCTTTTTTTTCTGCCGGAACGTGTTGGAATATTTCGATGAATGGCAGCCAAATACTGTACATATTTTTTAAAGTAAATTATCACTTGATGATTTGTTTGTTTTTTTCATATTTTTAAATAATTGTGCAGGTGCTTGGATACCGGATTGTGACGGGCTCACCCGCAGGACTAACTGATCCACATTACGTCTGGACTTTACGAAGAGAATTTACTGAACCTGAACCCGATGATGCTTGAAAGTTCTTGGATGTACACCTTTTACGGATGTACCCGTGACTTCGCTGAATTGATTTCGAAAAGAAAAAGGAGCAAGGAGACTGCAGGATTCCGTATTTCACTTGGAAGAGCGTGTGTACGTCATTTGAAATTTTAAGAACTTGATTCGTCTGACACATTTTGCTGTTCTTTCGAGAACATCTTGACCAAAAGTAATATTTTTTTTTCGATCTGCGGGACCATTTCATTTGCTGTGATAACACGCCAGGTATTCCCCTTTAAATCTCGAATCGCCAGTGAGATAGTTTTAAATCAACTTCCGTCGTTGATTCGATCTTCAGTTTTTCATTTGTTCAGTATTTGAAAAGCTCGGAATCCATCGCTCCGTTGTTCGCTAGTCTGAATATTCAACAATTGCTTTACAGGAAACTAAGCCGGAATGACTGAAAAGGGCTAAAGGCCCTGTGATTGAATTTTCACATGCATTCCATTGATTTTTTTCCCTACTTGTGGAGCTTGTTTATACTGTATTAGTTACGGAATTTTTTATAGATGCGCGGGGTAGTTTTTTTTTTTTTTTCAGAAATAAACTCCAATTTTTTTGCATTCAACGGTATGTTGAAAATTCACCTCTCTGTTCATTAGAAGCTTCTCTTGTTAACTTAGGGGCATCTAGCAGTTTGAGCTAATTTTTTCGGGAGTCCATAATCTAGTACAAAGAGGAAATGCGAATGCGCCAAAAACTGTGTGTGCCTTTTTATCCCTGTCAACGCTTCAGTGTCTTGCAGTTTTGTGTCTGTTTTTTTTTTTTTTTTTTTTTCTTTCGTATCCCGTAACATTTTTCTTGAGTCATCGTCATGAGTGTAATTAATGAATTTCCGTGTCGTTCACTTGCTTCCACCGTGAAGGGAAACCGTGATTTTCGTCTGTTGATTCAGTTCGCTCGGTGATCAAGACATGTGAAACTTTGTATTGGAGAATCTTTTGGATGCAGAGACACAAAATGTTATTGCACTTCAGAAACTGCGTATTTCTAACTAATAAATACAACTTTGCTTATATGTGTATAATTCTTTGCATGTTTTAGGGTTGAGAAAGCTTTTTTGAACCTCTGTGTTACGGTTTGATGAGTTATTTCATTTGTTTGTGTTTGTAGTAGTTGGAGTGAGCCACAGTCGCATTCAATTTTTATTTACCGTCTGCGTTATACGTTGAGCGTAATCATGGCCCTCAAGGTAGGATTTATCGGCGCTGGGAAAATTGCCCAATCTCTTATTAAAGGGTTTACGAACGCTGGACTCACTGCCCCGCAGCATATCATCGCCAGCGCGTCCAAAAACGATGTCTCCGATCTCGAAGTCATACAGGTTGGTTATTCAATTTGTGCTTTCGTCGTCGTGTTGCTCGATGCTGTAATGTGACGTCTCTTTTCAGAAACTTGGTTGCACTGCTACAACTAAAAATACGGCTGTGGTTCGACAAAGTGATATTGCGGTCTTGGCTGTGAAACCGAATATCGTTCCGGAAGTGCTTGCCGAAATCAGAGACGTTCTGGAGCCTCCAAAACTCCTCGTGTCCGTGGCGATGGGAATAACCTTACGGAAACTAGAATCTGTAATTTTGCATTCGTTGCTTGATGTAAACCTTTTGCGTTATCTCGCGATGTATTCATCTCTACGTGTATCTGTGTAGTTCTTCTATCTGAGGATTCTTATCAAGTTAACTTCATTTCAACGCCCGACCTTTTACAAGAAACAAGACAGAAATGACTTCTTGCGATGGCCGATTAAACCCAGGGAATTATGTGAAGAGGATCATAATTTATTCCAATAACGGATCAGCATTATTTCTCACTTCGATTCTTTTCTTCTAAGCAGCTTTCAAGGGGACACAGGAGGGAAAGGATGTGTCCGTAGCGTGCAATTTTTGTTCTATTTATTCACAGTTTCATCAATGATGAAGGATACTTTTTTTTTTTTCAAAACCGTATGTTTTGATGAAAGGTACTTTCTTTTTGCACCAAAATTCAAAATTGTGAAATACTTTACCTTACCGGTATGAAGCTTAATTTGCAGATTTGGAGTTTCACACCGCGACAGGAAATCGGAAGTTGAAAATCTGGATCAAGGCTTTTCTTTTTTGGTTCATTGGGAAATTTTCTTGGTCGGGTCTTGACAAATTCTAATTACTGAAATCTAATTTTAAGTGAAAATGGAAGGAAAGCTCTTCCGTGTGTCAATGAAAGTTCATTTCATGTCGACTGATATTGCACCTTTGAATGATTTTTCCCTGAATGTGGCCCAGCACATCAATGATGTGCGATGGTCCGAGTTAGCACTATTCGAAAATCATAATTTTTTTAGTTTCAGTTCTCAAAGGAGACATTTTGATGTAATTGCGAAGTTATGCAAAAACGGCATTTAATGTTTCTTCTCTCTTTTTCTTTTCAGTCGTGTCTGGAAAATGCGCATGTTGTACGTGTTATGCCAAATACACCCTGCCTGGTTGCGACAGGTGCTACTGCTTTCGCCAGCGGACGTTACGCATCAGAAGAAGATTGCGAACTGACGAAATCTCTCTTCTCTTCCGTTGGTACGTGTTACCAAGTGCCGGAGAGTTACATGGACGTTATCACTGCTATCAGCGGCAGCGGGCCTGCATATGTGAGCTTTTCTCGACCCAAATTACATTCTTCCTGAGCCTTATCTGTATTTTTTCCCTCCGCAGATGTTCATGACGCTGGAGGCCTTGTCTGACGCGGGCGTGAGACACGGATTACCGAGGAACTTGGCGTTGAAGCTCGCTGCGCAGACTATGCTTGTGAGACAATTTTTACCCACGATGCTCACCCATTTAGTCGGCATATTCTGTTATCCATCGCGTTATCCAGGGTTAGGTGCCGTAATCAGAAGTTTAATTGAATTTCTCGGAGTGCCGGCGTTTCATTTGCCCTGATCTTCCGGCTTCCGAAAGTTATTTTTATTTCTGTGGAGCATCGCGTTGTCCATTCTTGGCTTTTCGAATTTTTTGTGGATCGTGTTTTTGGAAATATCAATCGAATTCCAATATTCGGGACTGCGTTTAACCGTTCTCAAATTCGTTAATACTGATGAGAAGTTATCCTGTGTAATTCTAATTACATTATAAGTGCCTTATTTCGTGCTGATTGATTAACGAGACAAATTATTCGCTCATCAGACCCGATAAACGAAGTTCCGTTGTGTAGTACTTTCGCTGTTTGTGTGCCACCATTTTAAATGCCTGGTACGTGGTTCAATAATTTTTTTCTTCCGATGAGTGAGAATTGCCAACCCCTGAAACTGTTAAAATCCGCAAACAAATTGGAACAGCCCTGCTTGGAAAATTACTCATACTGCTCCCATGTCTTCGTATGTCCCAGAGGCACTTGTATGTGATGTGCAATATTGTCCTCGACTTCGGAAAAGTCACGTGTACCAATTGGCCTGGTGTCCACTTACCACCAGCAGTGGTTCGCATATCATCGCTTTTAAAACCCCAGTCTGAGGATAGCTTGAAGTTACATGATCATTTCGTTGTGTTAAAAGAGTGAAATCGCCGTGTCATTTAAAACTTTGTATCTATATTTAAGAGGGTCTGCTTATGAATTTGAGCTGTTGAGGCTAAAAATTCCTTTTTTTTTTTCCAGGGTTCGGCGAAGATGGTGCTTGAAACTGGACAGCACCCTGCTGTCATGAAAGGAGAAGTGTGCTCTCCCGCTGGCTGTACTATCGATGCGATGCATATGCTGGAAAAAGAAGGCTTCCGCGCTGCACTTATGAATGCAGTTGAGGCTGCTTACCTGAGGACGAGGGAAGCTGGCGAAGAGTAATATGGGCTTGAATCTTGTTTTGTTGCCAAAATAAGTCTTCGAAGCATGCATTTTATCTCGATTTCTTCCATCCCGCAGTTGGTCTTTTTTTCCTTCGCTTCTTACGATTGTTGAATAATGGTGTTTGCTTCTTTTCTTTTTTATGGGTAACGTGTTTTTTTTTTTTTTTTTTTTTTTTTTTTTTTTTTTTGTATTTTTTTTTTGTGTTCTTTTTTTTTTTTGTGGGTGTTGTTTTTTTTTTTTTTTTTTTTTTTTTTTACTTACTCGTCCGAAGATGTCTCATGCATTGTTGTGCAATAAGTCGTGAAAACCTACTGTTGAAGGCTTGAAGTGATCCGACTGCAAAAGTTGACCCCGAAATTTGATGCTGTCGAAGGACGATATTCTCATTTTTCCGGATTAGCCCATGACCAGAAACTCGTCGCAAAGTTCTGTTGATACAAACCTTGGCTCATTTATCAATGTGCAAAAATGTTGTGACCAGTGATTGATTTTGTTGTGAAAGTTGTAAAATCAAGCTGCTTGAGATGATCGTTGTGTTCGTGCTGTTGGTTCAATTTTTGCCGTGTAATCATTGGCTTTATAAGGATTTTGACTTCCCGTAACTATCACGTTTGAAAGAGGGGACGTTCAGTTTTGTTATACTGTACTGAGTGAATGATTTACTTTTTCGTGGGGAAAACTTTTTCTGGGCTTTTTCTTTGTTGCAACGGCGTTCGTTCGTGCATTGGTTATCCTACTGATGGGGTTTTATCGTTAAAAATGAAGATTTTGTTCGGAAAATTTGTGTGCGTTTTATGTCCACATTACTCATCTCTCCGTATTTTGCATGAATATCACCTCTTATAGTCTTCTATTTTGCAGAGCGATTCGCGGTTTATTTTTCTAGTGATTCAGTGCATCTGATCGTTGAATTAAAATCTTGTTCGCATTATAGGTTATTTTCACTGTGCACAGAACGTCAGCGAGACTCCAGGGTAAAGTTCTTGAGTCAGCACTATGGTAAACCAAGCAGGAATGATCGCACTCGTCGTATTCTCGGTTATTCTTTTCGCAATTGCGATTGCTCTGCTCTTCTGGCTCTTGAAAACGCTGGATGCCCGCAAACGTGCTGTAAGTTTTCAAACAATTACGAATGTGTATGTGAAAGCTGGCTTTGGTCTGAATGCCACGAGAGAAGCTTCAGTCACATGCCTTGCATGTGATTTCTACTTCGTGTTTATAGTGTATGGGTACTTCGTGTGCGTGCAGATCTAGTGAGTTTCCATCCACTGCTGCTATATAGAAATCAAACTGTTGATTAATGGTGTGCGCGTCTAAGATGGCTTTTTTAATCCAGGATTGACTTACTGGGATGAAAACAGTTTTGAGCTGGCGGCGGGAGCTATTTTTTTGCGCATAGAGAGTTTACGTGGATAAATTCAAAACATAATGCGTTTATATTGTATAACGCTTGATGGAGAGTCTCTAGTAGAGTTCGCTCTTCTGTTAATTGGGTTCATGCCGCAGGTTTTTTTGTTGATACATGAAACAAGTGTAAAAATAATGCTGTAGTTACGATTCATCTCGAGAGTAGTTCGACTGCAGTAATAAATTAATTACTTGTATGCAGCAAAGAAAAGCGAAACTTCCAATATAAATTAATATACGCATCTATCAATAGCATTAGAATATAAATACTGTACTAGCGTACTGCATAATATATTGACTATTTCGAATTAAGTCCGTGTTAATTAAATTGTGGGTGTACGATTATTGTAGATACTGTATTAATTATTTGTTAGTCTGTATATGCTGGCTTGTTTTATACGAGCAAGTTTGAATCGTTCAATTGCATCTAATGAAATAAATTTCTTCAGAAGTTTTAAAATTGTTCGTGCTGATGCTGTATTTTGATCGAAGTTGTATTTAAAAGTGTAAATAATCGTTCATTTGCTTTAAAACCATGGACAATAAATAGCAATGAAAAATCGAATGGGACAGTAGTAAATGGACATGCATTTGAGAACTCATCGAAAGTTGACTGAAACCAGGAATCATATCCGACCATTTCGTTCCATTGTCTCCTCAAGCTTAAATTTTAGAATTCCAATGGATCACTCATGGTCGTATATTGAAGGGAAATAGGTCCAACATTAAATAACAACCAAAACAGCACATATCATTTTAGTGGTTTGGATTCCTTCTTCATATTTTGGTTAAAACTCCTGATGAGAAAGGGAATCATAAGTGGATCCTCTGGCTTCTATAGTATGTATTAACTGTACAGTATATGCAGTCTAAATGCCCTATGTTTGCTGCCCATTTACAGGTGGTGTGAGAAAAAAACATCGATTTTTCACGGGGATGAATGAGAAAAAGACAATGTTACTGAATCCCACAAATTTGCCATAATCGAAATAATTGTACCTTGTTTACATTTATTTAAGAGTTATGGAAGCAATTTGATACTTGATTAATGTCCTCATTTCCATAGTACTGTAATTGTTGAACTATACTGGAGCAGTAGTTCTATAGTACATGTCCTGCACTTCGTCTAGACGTGAATGACATTGTATTGTAGAAAACAAAATCCATATATTAACGCCAGGACGGAATGACGATCCCGATGTGCTGTATAGGACTGTCATGGTTTCCTCCATTTAGAGAAAGTGCTGCTTGACATGCTTGAGCCAGTTAAACGAACGTCGCGTGCCCTACCGTGCTCTCATCGAAGAATGCATTTAAATCCCGCTGGTTTTTTTTTTTTTCAATCCATTTAGGGTTTGTATGAGAGAACTCCACTAAAGCCAATGCACTGTACAGTATTGCGAAGGGGTATCTTGGATGAGCCAGTGGTTCTTAAATACGTGAGTGTCGCGCATTTCTGATGGCTGAGAAATGGTGGGAAAAGCTACGTTTTCGGACTAATCTCGCTCAGAATTTCGTTAATGTGGTAGGGTGAGGCTTCATGATTTGTCTTCTAGCCTCTGCTGGAAGTGCTATGACGGAGGTTTACGTCTAACTTCTATTTATCTGGAGCATCTTTGTGCATTCAAAGGTTTTCGTGCGATTCTTCCTTCCGATTTTGAATGCATTTTTATAGTAATGAGTAGAGCGGGAATCTTTCGCGTTTCTTCTCAATTTTGAAATGAGTTGATCAAATCATACTGTCCCAAGATTCTCGTCGATGGGACATCATGAAAGCAACTTTGATATTGTTCGCCTCACTCGGCGCTGCTGCCGCTGCGACATGTGCCTACATAATTTGGAGGAAGAAGCGCTGTGGTGGCACTGATATAGTAAGTTACATTATTTTAATGGCCTCGGATAATTTTGCGTGATTTTGATGATGCTATGTGATACTCAATTGATACTTTCGTGCGACGTGAAATTGTGAATTAAAAGAAAGATACCGCTCATATCGCTTCCATGATCCCTGATGCCACTCGCTGTAGTAGAACCTCTAGATGCTAACCTGCCTATTCTTTAGTCGATCTCCCAACTGTTGCAGCTATCTAAAGGTGAGTTTACTATTGGATGGAACTTCCGCATTTTTAAATTGCGTTTGCCGCTTGGCGTACAGGCGTGCCTTTGATTTTTGTGCCGTTTGCTCCGCTTAGATCATCTTTTGCGTTTGTGCATTTTAGTGCTGTGAAAGTAGAAGTCGTTTTATTTTCGGGGTTTTTTCGAATTATTTCCAGTGGATAATTTCTCTCGTGATTCTTCTCGCTGAAAAAATCCTGTTCGGGATTCGACATTCGGAGTAAATCTCACGATTATCTCCCTTGTCTTTAGCTTCCGAAGAGAGCTGAAGAAAAGGATGAAGCGCAGGGCGTTCAACTTCTGATGGAACAAACTGAGCGAGTTCCCGCAAAGAAGGTACAGTATACTGCGGATGTTATATTTGGCTTGTTATATTTGGCTTTTGTCGATTTATATTTGGCTTCTATTTTACCTGGTGAAACTCGGATTCAGGCGTCGGAGTTGCTTGAGAAGAACGGGAAAGTTCCGAAAGCTGAAGTTGGTGTGAAACGTTCGTATGCTGATGCTTTGAAGTCCGAAGTAGAACCACTTGGAAATCCCAAGCAGTCGGTAATTACCGTATCGATTTTTGTAATTTGAGCAATTCTTTTCCAATCTTAACTTTTATAGCGTGGGAATGCTGGTATGCCGAGTGTGGCGAGCAGCGAAACATCTGGCAGCATCGGCGAGGATGACTTGAAACACCCACCTTTTGAACCGTCAACATTTCAAGCGAGTTTTGGATTGTCATCCAGTGTACCGAAATCTGCTGGAGGAGATGGCCCGGGTGCAGCAAGTGTTGATGATGATAAAAGAGGAGGAGAAGATGCTCTTCGACGCTTGGGGTATTACTTCGATGAAGGTTTGATGTTATCGACTTACTGCCTTCGATCCGTTTTGGTCAGCATCAAATTTTATTTTCAGAAGGAATCTTGAAGCAAGTGAAGAATGGGGAAAAATTCCAGTTCATTGATCAGCATCACTATGAGCAATTGGGATCGGCGATAACTGACGAAATCTACGTTCGAATGATACAACATGGACTTGTGCCCATCAAGATTCCATTGAATTCACCCAGCGGCCCACATACGAAGGTGTTCGTGACTCCAAAAATCGTGGAGGTTGTCTCAAAGAAGCAAGAAAATCATGTGCGCAACGTTTTAATTCTCATTCATGGATCTGGTGCTGTTCGTGCGGGTCAGTGGGCGCGAAGGTACTTGTGGATTTATGACCCTTCACTGCTAAAAATTTGAACGAAAATTTTGTTTCCAATTTTAGCTTGATCATCAATGAAAATATATCTCTGGGCAGTATGTTGCCGTATATCGACCGAGGTATCGAGAACGGATTTGAAGTTATCGTTACGAATGGGAACGATAGTTCAGAAAAGGGTGTTGTTGTAAGTCTCATTTTCTTCTCTGTCAAACATGCACGGAATGATTGCAACGAAACCGTTGGAAGTTTAAAATTCGTTCATTTTCTCATACCAGGAAAATTCGACGCCAGATGATCATTTGTCTTACGTTTGGAAACACATCGTGCGGTCTGTGCATCCAAATGGCGTTGCGATTGTTGCCCATAGTGCTGGAGGCTATTACACGAGCAGATTGGCAAGTTTTAGTTGAAAAAGAAAATTTTTTTAAATTTTTTTACACTGTTTGCATTTTCTGTACAGAGTGCCGCCTTTCGCGAAGACTTCCAGCGACAAGTTTTCGCGATTGCGTTGACTGATTCTGCCCATGGTGTATCCAGTACTCGCGACCGCGGAAAAAGTCATTTCGTAAAGGTACTCATTTGAATTCACGGTTGTAGCAGTTAGTTGCAAAATAAAATGTTCTATCAGGTTGCCCAAAACTGGGTTGTGAGCACGAAACCACTGGGAAAACCATTAAACCGATCCTCAAAAGTTTCCGTTCCTGAAGTTTCTGCCGGTTAGTTGTTCACGCTGCTTGCAGTACGGTGGAAATGCAATCGTCTTATGTTTCACTTACAGGGCATACCAAACATGAGTGGACTTCGGGTGTAGCAATTGAGGATGTTTTCCAGTTTATTCTGAAAAAGAGAGAGGAACATGAGCTCGAAATCGATGCGGAAACGTACAATGGGCATGAAATGTTGAGCCACGAAGAAAACCATGGTCGTGAAGAGATGTGAATGTTCGGGCATTTTTCCCTGTGAAAACTTGTTTCAAAGATCGGGTCAGCTATTTCTTCATTGCGCTGCTTTGAAAGTTGATGAAGCTTTGCGCGATTTGTTACGATACTTGATTGATCGATCGATCTTGTCCATGTGTGCTGTTGTTTTCTGCTCCTCAAAAATTGTTCGTTGGAGCATTTCTAATATCGTTGAGTTCACGCTTACCTGAACGAAGCCTGAAAGAGGATTGAGAGGTTTATCTGCGTGAGGCCGTTGAAGCGAGATTACTGATTCTCGTAGTGAATCGAACCGAGAAGAAGTTTTCTAGTGTTCCAGCAGAGAACCAACGTCGTGTGTTATATTAACGTGCTGCATTTTTTCATGTGGTTATCAGGATGGCGTCTACTGGTCGTGTGTGAAAGTTCGTAATGTTCTATGCTGCTATATGGACGACACTAATTTTTTGTACGATCCGAGTTTCGTGGAGAATGGCTGTGAGCTGACTTTCGACACTGGTTACGCGGTTTCTGGTGATCGGGTTATCATCAGTTCTACGTCCGGTTATCCTTTGGTTGGCGAAGAGTTGTACTGCGGCTGCGGCGAAGTTTCAACCTACGCTTTCCAACCGGTCAACGATGGCCGCTCTTGTCGGACAGAATGCATCCACACCCATTCGCCCACTCCTTCTAAATTAAGCGGGGGAAGCCTGCGCTCCACATTTTCTCAGGACTCTCTCGTTACCGGTGAAAACGGGAGTCGCTGTGAGGCCGCCGAGCAACCTTCTTTGGACGAATCGTTCTTCGAGTCGGAGGCGCGTGAATGGGTGGTCGGATTTGAGCAGCCGATGGGTGATTTCTGTAAATCGCGTCCCGTGGAAAAAGAAAGTTAGTCCAAGTGTTTATACCGGAGATTCTCCTATTTCCTTGAAATAACTGAATTTTAATCTAGGTATACGTAGAACCTCTAACCAGGGCAAGAGTGGGGGAGCTTTTGAGGTGTCAAAAACTGACGAAAAGAGTGGACCTAGTCCTATGGCCTTCACTGTTGACCTTGGTGGCGGTGGACTGCAAATCGGTGACTCAATCTCAAAGTTCATTCCAAAGCATCGAAGAAATCTGTCATCATCCCGTGCATCTCCAGACGCGATGAAAGCTTACGTAAGCACGATTCGAGAAGCATTTTTCTGTGACGAAAAAATTTGTTGTCTCTTGGAATTCATAACTTCGGTTTGTTGACATCGAGAGTTGTTCATGATATTGAACGATCCTTTTTTTGAATCAGTGGTAGTTGAGGTATACCGCCTTTTGTCTTCGACCGTTTATTTTATGAACATAGTGAAGTGCAATTGCTGTATTTGATGAAAAAAGAAGGATAATGTACGTGCACTTATTATCTCACTTCGACGAATCCTTTTTAACAGGTTGATCAACACGAATCTCCCAAGAAAAATAGTCCTGAATCGAAAGCTGGGCGAAACCGATTACCGGGAATTCAGCCGGATTCTCCATCTGCTGTACCAAAGCTCAAGAGTCCTGCATCGTTCCTCCTCCAACGCATGTTCGATATTCCGGGGGAATCCGGGGAAAAATTGGCTGATGAATTCGTTATGGTGGAGGATGGTGTGATGGAAATGGATATTCGTGATGATGGTAGCGAAACTGGGACGTATACCATTGATAATGACAAAGAAGACGAAGACGACTTAGACGATGATGAGTGTGGGGAAGCACTTGCCGACAACGATATGGACGATACATGCAGCGATCAAGACGACCAGAAAGTATGGGACTGTCGGGATTTTCCCAAGCCTGGTAGAATGGTTGCTATGCCTGTGAGTTTTGAGTTTACGTTCGTAGAAGCTTATGTTCGATCCAGGTAAAATCAGGTGTTCCGTGTGTAATTTGGGTTCGCCCCATTCCGGTGTTCGTTGCTATTTTGTGGAAGATGTTCTAAGTTGAATTGAGAGGAGTAATGCCGGATACCTTCGTCAAGGTCCCATCCTATGCCAATTCAATATTTTTCGAGTAATTTTTCAAACATCCTATTGCGTTCTGTTTTCGTTAAAGCAAGTGAAATTGGATCACATGTCGTCCGCTGTACCACAAGTTCCCAGTAGTGTCGGACGTGGAACACCCCCTTTCAAGGAATATAGGCACGAATTGCCTATGGATTCCCGTTCTTCTTCCTCCTCCTCGTCTCCAAGCAAACTTAGTTGGTCGTTGGAGAGTCAGAATAAACCCAGAAGAAAGCTGCCCGCTGTTCCTGCTGGCGTAGAAGTGAGTTTATCATCGCGTTCAGATTCATCCTTAGTGAAGGCTTCATTCCTTCTACGGAACTTGTGGGGTGGTGGTTATTTCCTGCTGTGAATGGTTTTGCGATTTTTCCGTATTCCTTGTGCTTGGATGCCGTGGAAAAAATCTACCTGTACTTGCGTTTCCATCGTTCTAGCTAGATTTTTTCATCGCATTTTGTGGTCGTGCGCTGATCGATGTTTTGACTTGATCTTTCAATTTTTTTCCCGTATTGGTCGGTCGAAGTTTTTCTCGTTGGTGACATTTCTCCTGCATGCCGTCGATTTGTGCGTTGTGGCATCTCGGGATCTATATATGCGAATCCTGTTGGTTCCCAGGAAGCGTCGGAAGCTATGTCGAACATAAACCTCGATACCGAACGTTTTCTTCGCGATACTGAGACGGTAGTAGCCGCTATGCAAGAGCGTGTGACTCGCGCCCAAAAAGCTGCCGCCCCACCTCCTCCGCAGCCGCCCCGGACAAAGCATAAAACAGACCATCATCGCCTGACTGTTTCGCCTCGTGCCGCCTCCTTATCCCGCGATGGGTCGTCGTCTTACGATCGGGCGAAAGCGGAGAGTCCTCGCGATAAATCCGTTTCGGAAAGCACTGGGAGTGTGAGAAGCGAAATCAGTTCTGTTGGGAGCAGTGGAGAAGCTTCGGAAGTTGGCATTGACAACGGTGGCGGAGCTTCTCCGTCTATTCGGAAGAATAGAGCCTTCAGGTAGATTGCTTGAAAGATATGTATACTGTGTGTCTTTTTCCGCGTGAACACATCTCGGTCGAAACAAAATTGTATTCCTCAAGCTTCATAAAGCTGAAAAGTAATTTTGCCTGCGTTGAAAAGTGTATTGCAGTAATATTTGTATTATGCGGTTAATGCTGACCGCCTTTGCCCAATTGAAGAAGCATCTCGGTTATACGAAATTACGAATAATGTTTTCAAAATTCATCAGATGAAAGCTTCATTCAATTTTGACGTGACAACGCACCGGCGTTCCCAGAAATTTAAATTTGAATTAGCCAAGATAATTTTTCAGGCGATGGGATTTAAACTTATCATTAAAATGCCACCATCTGCTCTGTCTTTTCTCCATTATTAATCAAAGCTTGAGCTGATTATTCGACGCCCAGGTTACCAGAGGTCCACTTAATTTTGTCTCTTCAATATACTGTATGTGGCTTCATGAGGTTTTCTATGTTACTATCGGTTAATTTTTTTTTTTTATCAGCAGTTTGCGCAGAGGTCGGCTTGATTCCGAGCCGGAACCGCCTCTGAGAACTACCCCTCCCGTGCAACCTGCTAGGAGCAAAACTGCTGCACTCCGTTCTACGCCTACTGGGAAAACGGCTTTGAAGCAGTCTTTAAGCTCTGTTGGGTCTAGTAGCAAAATTAGCGCTGATTCTGACGCCTTTGCAAGAAACGATGGCGGGAGACATAGCTTGAAGCTGAGTCGCGGATCACCGGTAATAACGCTTTGCGCAAGAAATAATGTAATGTACTACTGATTTTCATTACTGTTCCTTTGTTATGAAGGCTCCTCAAGCTGCAACGAAACCAAAACGCGCTCCCGTCCCTGGATCAGTAGCCAAAAAACCCCCACTTCAGAACCCAGTCAATCGTTCAGCAAACCTGATAGCGGGTGTCAACCGCGATGAGGAATATGCTAATTGGCAACGAAGGAAGGGCTATAACCCACGCAAGGCTGCCGCGGAAGGCAAGATAAATAAGAATGGTGAGTGTGTCCGTCTCACGTTTTGAATTCTTTACGCAATGTGGTAAGGTGTGTCAGAATTGTTGATATGTTTGCTTTTGCTTCGCAGTACCCGCTCGAGTAACCCGAGAATCACCGAAAAATGCCATGACTCAGTCCGCCCATGAAGCTGTGAAGCCTTTTGTGGCTGCTGAAGCCGTGCCGCCGAAGGAACATGAACAGTAAGAATTTGATTGCTTAGTCGATTGGTCATAATTTTTGAATGAATTAGCAGTCTTTCTGAAACTTATTCCTACCCCTTTCCCCTGCTATCATTCTTTGTTACAGTATACCGTTATTCAAGTGATTAGAACGAGTCCTTTTTGCACGGTTAGGTTTGAAATCAGTGTATGATGCTCAAAAATATTAATTTAAAGCAATTTTCTTCGAACCCCTTCAGGTTATTGATCGGTTATATCTTTTTCTGGGTTTCGCCGAATAGAAAAATATTGATTTTCCTGTAAACCGATCGGGTGAAGGCGTTTTCATCAGCCAGAAAATTTTCTCTTTATCATTCTTACTCGAGTTGTCTTTCTCAAGTCTCTTGCTGGCCCCGCGTTTTGAACGTCATGTCTCCCTTACAGTACCCGGTATGGTGTAATGGTTTTTCTTTATTTTAATTCATTTCAATTTTCCAGGATTGCTGCAAAGGTTGTTGAATGCTAGTCGTATTTAATATTCAATCAGTGATAGCCATAATGTTTCTGGAAGTGGTGAACATTCACATTTACATTTTCAGGTTACCTTACGCTGTATTAAAATCGGCCTCATTTCATGGTTCCGAGGGGATCGCGGATTCCCAGCGTCGACGCCGCGGGAAGCCAGTGACTCAAGCCCCGACGTTAGCGACGGATGACGTACTAGAGCTCTCGTCTCCCGATTCTCAGTCGTCACCTCAGCGGAGACCAGACGAAGATAGATATTCTGCCCCGCGTCACCGATTCGAACCGGATGCATCCCATCCCGTGTCGTTGCCAGAACCTGTATCTGGAGGCTGGAGTGGGCATCAGGTTGCCATGGTAGTGCCAGTGCAACTTGGATCGCCCCGAGCTGTGCAATCGCCCAAATCCCCATTTCGCTCTGCAACGCAGCCAGGAAAATTAGAGACTTTGGATTCTTTGGTTCTGTCGTCTGTCTTTTCGCTCTCTTCGAGGCTTAATGATCGAGCCAAGAAAGTGCTTGAAAAACTCAAGTAAGTTTCGTTTTTCTACAATTTGCTATGCTGCTCAGGTATAACCGAATATTTGTCTGGATTCCTGTTGCGTTCCTGACCGTCTTCAAGAGCCATTGAATTCGTCTAATGGTATCGTATTTTGCGATTTTGTTTACACAATAGATGTCAAGTGAGTGATGAAACGGACGTGGCTGGAAAATTGGAAGATCTGATTCTGGTGATGGATTCGGCGGAAGCTTCGAGTCCGGTTGGCAATGCTTCCAAGCCTCGCTCATCATCGAAAGACCTCTCCGGCACGCTGAAGAATTTGAGACGTTTGGAACAAGTCATGACCCGTTAGTTTTTTTTTTTTTTTTCAACGCTCTTTTTGTGTTGATAATTTCATCTGCAATGTTTTAGAAGAGCGTATGCGAATAGTTTTATTGTGTCATATCCTAGGGATATGTTCGCTCGGTACATGTTTTGGACCTATGTTTTGAGTAAACTGTCACGTAAATGAAAAGATTCTTGAGAATTCCGGTAGATATCTGATATTTAGTACTGCATAATGTCATGCCCCGTAACACTACTTGTCTGAGACAAATACGGAGTGCATCTGTCAGGAACTACTCAGGATAACAGAGTTTGAAAACCTATTTTTTGACAGACAAGCTTTTGAGTGTTGGCTTGAAAGAGTATAATTGGCACTCTCCCAAATCTTTAAATGCACCAGCCCAGATCACTTATTCCATCGGAATGAAAGAAAGCTGGTCACATGAAAATTTCAAGATGGCCTCTGTGTCTCTCAGTTATCAGACTTCGTACACCTCTCGAATCTCATAAAATAGGATTTTTAAATTCCCGGTGTTCGTCGAATCCACGTGATTATCATGCTTTACTTTTTGAAGTTGTGGATGAGGTGTTGAGCATGGATCCGACTACGGACGACTACGAGCGCAGACTTGAAGTCAGCGGAGACTATGATGACGACGAAACTGCTCATGCAGCGTACAACGGCTACCATGGAGCATACCTTCCTTGAAATTTTTTTTGTGGCTCCTGTGGGAGTACTTTCCGCGGTCCTGGTGAACAAAAATAACCGTCTTGCTGCCTATGCGGGGGTCTGGTTTTGTGCACGAGTGAGTAATCTTTTTCTTTTTTTTGCTCGAGTCTCCGGTGTGAGTGTGGCAAGCGTCGGAATGATTGCGGTGATCGCGTATTGGTCTTGCGGTTTCTAACCAGGCTGAGAATTTTTTGGTTACGGAGTACTCGAGTCGCTCATCCGTTTTCTTCCCACGTTCTAATTTTTTATGTGAATTGGATTACCAAGGAATCATTAGCCGATAGCATTTTCGGTAGTCGATGCCGTTATCTCTTTTTTTCCGACCCGGGGTAAGATTGCAGGGAATTTTGCTTGGGATGCTGGAAGACATATGGAAACTGTAATTTTTTCTCTCCATTGTGTTTCTCTAACGTGTGAACTCTTTCTACTTGTGTACTTTCGGACTTTCTTGGCTGATTTTTCTGGTTTCTTTAAAGCGATTTATTCCTTGGATTTTTTGCATTTTTTTTGAAAGGCAACTTCCGAACAACAGAAAGGAAAAGGGTTTCAGTCGCAAATAGTTCAAGTTTGCCTTGTCTTTGTATGTGATGAACCAGTTCTGAAATGGAAGAGTCGTCGAAAGTTCGTACTTGTTTGATGCGGGCTTTGAGAAGCTTTGCGATAAAGTTTGTGTTCGTTCAAGGAGCGAATATTATTTGAAATCAAAAAAGTCGGGAATATTTCACTTCATTGTATAATATACTTGAGTTGCCTTTTATCGCGAGGTTTTCTGTAGGAGCTCGCCGCTATTTTCGGTATGGTTTCCGTAGGGTTAATCCTGTCTGAGATCGTTCATGTTTTCGTAATCGCTGAAGACGAGGTTGAAATCAACTCACGTTCGACGCAGTAACCAGTGATTGATTGATGGGTAAGCGCTCCTTTTTTCCCTCGGTATGTCATGAGGTTGTGCTTTTGTTTGCTTTTGTTGAATTGTGATGAACCGGGTGTTAGAACGCATTTGGTCGAACGATGTCGACGAAAGATTTTTTGGTTTGAGAGAAATGCGACAGTTTACATTGTGAAATCAGTTACCAGACCGCGATCAAACGTGGCTTGACGGGGCCCTTCCCGGTTGGAATTTTCCGTGGACTAAATTGAGTCGCTATGCCTTCTTCCTTGTGGTTGGCTAATTTTCGTGTGTCTTTGAGCCGATCCATTCATCATAAATTTGGAACTATTGTCATCGTCCGTCAAGGCAATCGTCAAGTTTTCGCGGATTTATCCCTAGTTCCCTTGTTTCTTGCACACAGTGGAGAAGAAGGAAAGATTATGATATTTTCGATATTTAGCGTCGTGGAATTCATTTTGACATCTCTTCTCTGAGTATGCAGGTTCTTCTCCGAATTCTGGTCATCCAATGACTTTTTTTTTACATATTTTTCAGAAAGCAATTTAATCAAGTGATGGAGATTTTTAGAACCTCGGGTTTCATTCGTTCGTTTCATACTTGTGCCGTCAATTGTGGAAAGCGAAATATTAGGAAGTTTCCATTTTACAATAAAGCTGGCACCAGAGCTTTCAAGGAAAAACAGATGACTTCAGAGCGTCAGTTCCTGGTTGATCGTAAGTGTTCTTCATTCTCGATTAACTATTCTTCGTACCCTTACATTATACTCGCGTGTTATGTTATCAGATCTTGGCGTTAGACCTGTTGGGGAAATGGTCAACGGACGGTTGCGAATTATTCCTGAAATGGTTCCTGAACTTGTGGTTCCCGATTTATCGAATTGCGATGTAAGTACTGTAATTGAAGAATTGTAGATATTGAAGTCCGTTTTCGAACGATTTTAATGCTGACCGGTGTAGACGGCACAGTATGCTCGCCTATAGGGATATACAGTTCAAGCAATATGCAGTTGAGTAAAAGAACAATTTTTACCATACTATTACTCCTCATAATAAACTTCGCACATATTGTGTGCAATCATGTTGTGTACAAGGCCTCCTCTGCAGTATTTTACCGTGGAAAAGCCTCTGCATAACTTCACTCCGCGGATGTGGACCGCTCCTCCGTCTGTGGGAGTATGCCCTGTCTCCTACACCGGGATTAGTAATACTTGACTTTCCTCCAACTTAACCTAGTCTATACAGTATTCGTAAAGAATATTAAATCGGAGGGATTTCTTACTGCTTAGTGGCTTGACAGATTTACAGTTGTATGCGACAAAAAATAAAATATGTAAGGTTCTTCCAATGATCAGAAAATAAACTTGAAATTTTTGTGAAGACCTGACTAGATATTTTCATCAGCGGAATCGGAAATGTTTCATTTGATGTAAGGACTTTCAATACCTTTTGTAGTTGAAACCGTACGTTTCGTACCGTGCTCCGGAAGTCACGAATGCCGAATTTACGGCAAGAGACTTGTTCGCCACTGTGTATAGTGACAAGATCATCGAAGATTTCCGTGAAGGAAAAATAAATGAGGATGGAAGTCCGCTTCATCCGAGTGCGGAAGAGCGTTTAAAACCGGATGAAGCCTGGGCTAAAGCCAGACAATTTGGCTCGGATATTTTTCCGGCAGACGCTAGTCGAATTCCTGATCTCAACAGTGAAGTCCCCGAGTTGACAAATCCTGAAGACAGCCGTCCACCAGCTCGATATCATGATCCAACTAGAGTTCTTTGATTTGTTTCTTTCTTCGGAATCTGAAATAGTTCATTGCTTTTTATGAATCGTGCCAAAGGTCATTCTAAACATTATTATGTAATATTTCTTATGCATTTTTAGTGTAACGGAATCGCGAATGTGATCCTAAAATATGTTGGTAACCTATAAATTGCTACCGGCAATTTTATTGGTATTCTGTGGAGCTGATTGCGCGCTTCACCAGCCGTCATTCGGAGTGAAATCCTTACCGACTGACGTGGCTCCGAGAGCCAGCAACACTGATGAAGGTACAGTGATTGTCTTACTAATGAACACTTTTAAACAACAAATAAATCGTTTTTATCACATTGTTGTTTTAAGAGTGCGGTGAGTGCCTATTAGCGTCTTGAAGAAATTTTTGAATGGTGCTGAGTGTTCGTTTCCAGATATAATGATTATGACGCTCATTACATGCGTGAACACTTACCCGTGGTCAATTTGCAAAGAATTTGTGTGTCACCAGACGACTTTGCATGCATTAAAATAATGTACCTGTTTTTGTATCATTTTACAAGCAAGGTTCAAAATTCTGCGGAGAAATCACGTACAGTACAGTATTCTGTATTTTAGAATTTTGATGTCTGTGCTTAGTCTCCAAATGAGCATGCAAATGCGATGTGATGCTGGTCTTCAAATTAGTTCAACGTGTCTGAAAATTCGGCGGATTAAAATGTACGAATGACTTTCTAAGAGATTTCAAACTAAGGCTGGTACTCTTTTTTTATTGCTGAAACTAGTTGCCTCGGATGCTGGAGGGAAAAGCAAAGACTTGGATGCCAAGTCAGGAATACCACTGTCAAAAGAAGGACAAGATCACGACAAGCATGGACTGCAAATGAGAAATGGGACAAAGGTGGACGCGCCTGAAAACGATCGTTGCATCACAACCACACGTGATGCTGCCAAGCGAGGATCACCATTTGACTGTAAACAACTTCCTGCTAAATGTCTACAATGTTCTTTCAACCGGTCTTGCGTGTATGGGGCTGAAGTAAACGTTTCATGTATCCCACTTCTTGGCGTGGAATGTGAGGTAAGTTTTTTGATCGTGAGACGTTCACCAAGACTGAACCGCGCTTCACGCTTGATAGTCATAATCAATCCATTTGTTTTTCTGAAGCTTCAAGTCGGATTGAGAAAAATATGACCATCCGTTCCCTATTTGTTTTACTTGTAGGGACAGAGGCCCTTCACAGCCACGACCATTTGCCAGTACTGTTATCAGACTCCGTCGTGGCAACATAGGTGCATCAAAGACGCGAATTGTGATGTTGTAAGTGCGCCGAGAGAGAAGTATCGAACGAATTGCACAGTGGATCCTAATGTTATCTGCATGGGATTGCGGACATTTCCGAAGAATGTATTGTGCAATTGGACCAATGGTCACCGGTGGTCCACTGCTGTGATGTTGAGCATTACTTTGGGCGGTGTCGGCGCCGACAGGTGAAGCGTTTTCTTCGACTAAGTACATCAAACCTGAAATTTGATGTACCGTATTTACCCGAATATAAACGCTCCTCGAATCTAAGCTAGCATCCCCTAGATTTTTCATGCACCGAATTAAAATTCCATCAAAGCCATCCATTTACTTTCCTGTTGTTCTGACTTTCCCTTAACCTAAAATTTCTGACTTGAATTTAGGTTTCCCCAGAAAATGAAGAAGGCCATATATAACATACGTGGCATGCTTCATCTGCATTTTCCACTTTAATGCCGTATTACCTGGATAAATGATTAGGTAGGAAAAGTTTGATTTATTTCTGAAGACGAAGTACTGTATTTCCATTCATTTTGAATGCGTATGCGACTGCGAAAGTTGCATATATTTAAGAGGAACGCATCCAGAAAGGGGGGTGCGTATACTGTATTATTGAGGAACGCATACATATGCGAATATAAGCACCCTTAATTTTTGAGCTTTTAAAATTAAAAAAAAGGGTGCTTATATTCGTGTAAATACGTTAGCGACGTTTTTAGTCACTTTTGTATAGTATATTAATATTGAGAGATACTGGTGCAAGAATAAATAAAATACAAAAAACAAGGGCGAATGTTCAGCCGCACCTGTGAGCAATTATCAGAAATGCAAGGGCAAAGGAGAGGGAAAATTACGACGGGGAATCTCGAAAGAACAAATGCAACAAAAAGTTATTTCCACAAGAGAATATAACGTTAGCGTTGGAGACTTGATTCTTACAAGTCTTCTACAAATCGTCGCTACATTTGGCTGGAACTACGATACTTATAGAAAATACTGATTTTCGTGATATTTGAGAGTGTTCAAGCCGTCATGACAATCGCACAACTTCGAAAATTTTGCTACAATTTCCGAGAACGAATGCAGTTCTGGGTCTTCGAAGTAATTCGTGTGTTTTTCGGAAACGTTGTTTAAAATTTATTTTTTCTTTCAGGTTTTATCTGGGTCACTGGCAAGAAGGAATTGGGAAGCTCTTCAGTTTCGGAGGCCTGGGAGTCTGGACGTTGGTGGATGTGATTCTGATCGCGACGCGTTACCTCGGCCCGGCCGATGGGTCGCTTTACATATGAAGGTCGACGTAAAAGTGATTTTATCCAATTTTGCCGCTGGCTGTGAACAAATCCTGTGATCCCGCGCCCGTGAATGTTCTGGTGAGCTCCAGGAAGGTCTAGTTTTCCGTGATTCGAGTTGGTTAAAATATTATTTAGCTCGATTTCATGGGAGACTGTGCTCGCTAGCAGGCGTTCCGGATTTTTTTTCCAATTGTTTGTCATTAGTGAATTTATGGTCGATGCAAGTGAAGTAAAATGAGGGGTATCTGCTTGAATCCCGATGTGTAATTTTTTATTGCCCTACGTTTTTTCACGTGACCGATTGCATCAAAAGTTGTCATCATTTTCAGAAGAGTTGGAAAATGTTGCTATATCAAATAGCGAGGAATTTGGTCCCGGCGGCCGTCGGGCGTTCGTTCAGACGAACATACTTGTCTTCAAAGCACGCGCTGGATTCGCAATGGGGTAAAGTTGCCGCGTGTGTTCCCCCAACAGAATGTGAGCAGTGAATGCCATTTTTTCTGATGGGTTTTCACGCGAATTAATCATTTATTTCGTCCGAAATTCGTCAAGCTCCCAACTACTCCGTATTGGATAAGAAACTTTTGAGCGACGGAAAGTGTTCAGCAGTCGACCTTGATTTGGTACGTCGATTTTCGAGAAAGTCTGAATACTTGAAAAACTGCCTCTTCCAATCATTTTTTTTTAGGAATGCATGCTTTCTGCGATTTATTCATTTTTTCAAATTCGACTTCTGGGGGATTCCATGTGCATTACAAGCAACGAAAAATGTATCATCTTTTCAGTTTGCCAACACCGTTGAAGATGCTTTTCACTTGGAGGAACTCTCAGATTTACTGCATCGCTTTCGTCGGTGTTCAGAAACTGTGAATCTTATGGAGCCAACGGTCCACTCCGTAATCCGTACATTCGTACGCTTCAACGACTCGAAGTTGTTGCTTAGAATGTTGGATGACCGGCTTAATTATGGTCTCTTCCCAGATTCATACATGTTCAACTTTCTCATGAATCATTTTTTAGCATCGAAGAAGTATCTCGGTGAGTGGGCGAAATTTGTTTCAAGTTATTTGAAATGTAGTTCAGCTTTTGTTTTAGAAGCAGCAAAAACTGCCACAATCATGATGCTCCAGGAGGATTTCGAAAACGAAATCTCAGCAGCGTTAGCTGTTCACTCCTGTGCAATGTTCCTGAATGAACCTGACGTTGAAAGTTGGCATCAAGAAGAGGCAACTACAGAACCCGAGCCCGAGATGGACGAAGATGAAGTGAGTAATGGTCGGAAATTCTGTGTCATTCAGGTAGCTTATACGGGTATGGGCGAAAAAACGATTGCAACTCAGAAAAAATTTCCATTACTGCGTGACCGTCTTTTTTTTCGATGGAGAGCGATTTTATTTGAAGAGAGCTAAATTGAAGGATAAAAGGAAAAATTGTTGTTTATAAAACATTTCTCGATACACTTCGCACGAAGGTTGAGCTTAACTTAGTTCAGGACATCAACCCTAGTATACGTTTAATTGTATCGCTCTTCGGTTTAAAATTTTTCAGGTTAAAAAGGTACGAGTTAGCTACCTCGTTATCCCTTACGATGACGGACACTTCGACCTTTCTGATCCGATGAAGCTGATCGGAAAAACACTGCTCCTTGCTGGTAGCGGCATTCCTGGACAGTGTGGTTTGAATGCGGAAATAGTTGGTGCTGCTTTGCTGGATAAACCCGATGTCTTGCTGGAAAAGCTATCTTCAGCTTCCAGTTCTGTTTCATCTGATGTTTTGGGTATCATTTCATCTAGGGCAGAATCCTTACCTAATAAGGATGTCATCCATGAAGCTTTAAAACAACTCAAACCTGATGATTCAAAATTTGCTGACGTGACCGAAGCGCACGTAAAAGCAACTGTGTCTCGATGTGAGGCGAATGAAATAGTCCGAATGGAGTCCACTTACGCAGAATGGGAAAAAGAACGTTTGAGAAGATTCGTTCGACAAAATGAAGGAAAGAAGATTCTCGAACGCATCGCTAAGTTGAAGGAGATCAAGGAAGATCTGCGGCGGCGCGAGCAACTTCTTTTTTTCTACGAACGCGAAAGCGAATTGGAGAGAGAGCTTCGTCAGAAAATCCCTCGTCATTTTACTCCTCCGCCAGCGCATATTCGGAAATTCATCGAGAAATCAAAAGCCCGTGTTGCGAAAAAAGCTGTTGATTACGTGCCTCCCGTAGTGTGAAAGTGTTCGGATTGCTTTTTGTTCGTTGGCAAGGTTATATGCCAATAAAATTTCTCACCAGTGATTGCATCCAACTTGAGGGATGTGATTTAAGTTATGTTGTGTGCTTCAATTTTTCTATCGATCCGTTCTACAATTTTGAGTTATAGTGTTTTCAGTATATATATATATATATATTTTTTTTTTCGTTTCGTTTTTGACCTGACTCTGTGCGTGCTCTTACCTTGCCACGCATGATTACATCGCCATGTGATTGACATCAAGATCAGAATTGGGAATTTCGAAACTAAAAAAGACGTTTCGTCTATTGCTAAAATTTGAAGATAAAAATGCGCTGGAGATTAGCCGCTCCGCTCTCTCTGTAATTGAGTTCTTTGCGGGTTTCGTCACAGAACTAGCACATGAGGGGAATGGAGCAGCTTTCTTGCAGTGCTAGACCATTTCCTGTCTCATTTTATTCTCAGATGCGAAATGTAAGGTAAAGATCAATTCTTGAACGAACTTGAGAATGTTGTTGGCATTGCACTTCCTATCTCTGGATCTGGTGCAATACCGGTGAATTAATCAAAGTTAGTTTTTTGATATACCGAATCCCTGCGACGGCGCATGGTTCCCATGCTTTAGTACTCTTAGTCTCTAACCAATGTCGTCGAAATCATTTGTGCTTCTTCGGAAGCTGTTGAAAGTCCATAGTATTTCGAGTTGTAGGCTATTTTCGTCGTCAGCAGTATATCGAGCGTCCAAACGGTTTGTTCTTGAATGGGTATTGCAGAATTTGTGCGGAGGATCATTTTTTTTTGTACAGGCATTATGATTTGCTTGTTGTGGGTGGCGGTGCCGGTGGAATGTCAGTTGCCGCGACGAAATTCAAAGGAATTTCATCTGTCGGACTGATGGATGGAGCTCAAGTTGGTCTTACTTCTGTTTCCGACCCAGCAAGGCTTGGGGCTTTATGTGCTGGACAGATACGATTCATGCTGCCGGTGCTATTATGATTTTTCAGCAATGAGACAAGCATATGTTCAAGGATAAGAAACTTTCATTTTCACTGATGAGCCTTCTTTGTAATAGCTCCGTACAATGAGGAGTTGGAAACAATTTTTCTGCTGTATACAATTCTTTTATTAATTTGTGTTGGCCATGTATGCGCTGACGTTTTAGGAACAGTCGCGGTTTCTGCAGCGCGTGCATTACTTAAGGTCTAGTGTGATCTAATGGAATCAGTGTAGCTATACTTATAGATGGTTTGTAGCACTTACAAAAATGTCTGCCATTTTCAAGTGCTGTATTGGTTTCTTTTTAACATTGCTTGGATTATTGATGTAAAATCATGGCAGCGCTTGATTTATTTATGCGGATTTTTTTTTCATTTGCGCGGGTTTGTCTGAAGATTCCCTGAACAGTGTCACGATTTTGCGATTTATTTTATGCTCAGAAGCATTATTACCAGCCGTTGTGGACTCTAGTTGGAGCCGGTGTCAAGGAATTTGCTGAAACCGAACGTCGCATGAAAGATATAATTCCGCCAGGCGTTGATTGGATTCCAGATGCTGCCGAAACATTTGATCCAGAGAAATGTATCGTCAAGACAGCGAAAGGAGCGGCCATCGGTTACAAGTACTTGGTAATCGCGACTGGGATGCAACTCGATTACAACAAGGTTTGTTTTTTTGTCTTTTTGATGCCCCTGAAAACCAGAGCGTCAGAAAATGTTTCTGTAAAGGGGAAAATTTAGGATTGGATTCTTGTCTGAACATTTGTGTTAACCCTTCTTAAACAGTACAGTATTTCCTTTTAAGGTCGACGGCTTGGTTAATGCGCTTGAGAATTCCCCGAAAGTTTGTTCAAATTATTCTCCCGTGTACGTGCACAAAACATTCCCGTGCATCGAGAACTTCAAGGAAGGCAACGCCATTTTCACATTTCCGAATAGTCCTGTCAAGTGTGCCGGAGCTCCGCAAAAAATCATGTACCTCACCGAATGGCAATTCAAAAAGGTTCGTGCGGACCTTACGGGATATGATTCAATGGGTTTTAATGTCCTTCTGTAAATTTTCCAAGTTTCATCGACATTTTTCATGATCCCCCCGAATATTTAGCAATATATGAGTGAATGAGGTGTCTGGAGGTTTTATTCTTTTTAATCAATCGATGAGGTTGTTGTCCACTTTTTTGCTTCAGATTATTCTCAACATTATAAAATGCTCGCAAGAAACCGAATATTTATCTGTTCTCGTCACTCATATAAGAAAGGTTTCTCAGAAGTATTGTGAGTTTCCCCAAAATGGGCATTCATCGAAGATTAGTGTCGATTAAAAATTTGGCAGTCGTTCAGTAAATGCTCGAAGATATTTGAAAAACTATCGAGCATTTGTATAGTGAAGTTCGAATAAAAAATCTTCAAGTCGGGTTGGTGAATCCTTTTGGAGAATATACTCGCCAAAATAGAAACAGGGGTTTTTTATTCATTTGTTTTGAATGACTCAAAATTAAGTCATTTTGACTCAATGGCTGGCGTGAACATTTCTTGTTTTTTCCTCTTTCTATCATTCGCCGACACAAAGGGACAATTTTATCGGTCAAGAAAAATTCACTCAACTATTCATCCGCTCGTGTCTACTTCTAGTTTTGGTTTGCAGGGTACCTCAGAGAAACCCTTTGTATAATATAATGTTTGCTCAGAACCCCCAAGAACTCTTCCGCCTCAGTTTACTTTAAACAGTCTTGACAAAATAAACCTGGATTTATTTATTTTTATTACATTTTTTCAACCTTCAATCTAGTAAGGAGCGCGTTTACTCCAAAGTTTGTTTCCTCCAGTAGATGGGAAAACGAGAAAAAGCGTCGTTCAAATTTTTCTCTCCTCTCCCGGTGATCTTCGCCTGTAAGAAATACGCGCAAACGTTGGACAAAATTTGCGCTGATCGAAATTTGCGATGTTATTTCAAGCGTAATCTCATCAAAGTCGATTCCGACAAGAACATGGCAACTTTTCAAAACATCGACGATCCGAAGGACGTGAAAAGCCACGAGGTATTTTCCGTAAATGTTTTTCGTAGTGAACTTGTCATTCCAGAATTTATCCAGTATCGTTGGGCTTTTTTTTTTAATTTCGAGAAATTGTGATGAATTTATTTTTCCTGCCTTCATAATTAAGTTGAATTCTTTACACCGTACGCCTTGTTTAATTACGCAATTTTTCATCAAAGTGATTTCTCCGTAGTACGAAATGCTTCACGTATCTCCGCCTATGGGTCCGGTAAACGTAATGATGAACGCTGGAACTTTGGTCAACAAGGCAGGATTTTTGACTGTGAACAAAGAAACCTTGCAGCACACGAGGTATCCGAATATTTTTGGAATTGGTGATTGTACAGACGTACCAACCTCTAAAACCGCCGCGGCCGCTGGTCAGTATCCGAATTGGTTTTTTGTTTTGCTTATTCTGACATCAACTGAGAAGGAAGTCTTCAAGTTGAAACCCTTTGACCTTTAGGTGTAGCTCGATGAAAAAAAAGTTCTAATTTCGATAAAGAATGCATCTGTTATTACGACCGCAGTAAGGAGAAACATGTACCCTATGTTCACACAAAGTGATTCTTCGCTGTAAAATGATTTCATGGAGTTTTTAAGGTTTTCTGTCATAATTCTTTCTTCTTGAATTACGAGTTTTCACGTATTTGAATATATCAAGCGCACAGCAGGTCAAGCGTGAAGAAATTTTTTCTTTCAGCTGCACAAGCTGGTCATCTGCGGAAGAATTTATCAGCAATGATTGAGGGGAAACCCCTGGGATCCTTGTATGACGGATACACGTCCTGCCCTCTGACGACAGGTTAGATTCTTTGCAGAAGCATTTATGCTTGCGATTATTTTTGTTTTGTATTCTTCGAATGCTACCTTTTTTTCTATAAGGTTATGAGGAAGTCGTCATGGCGGAATTTGACTTCGAACTTCAGCCGAAAGAAACTTTCCCGTTTGATCAAAGTGTACCTAGAAAATCCATGTATTTGATCAAGAAGGATTGGCTGCCAAAAATCTACTGGGATAAGATGCTCAAGTACGATTTATTCATTTTATTTTTTTAATCGAGTTATAAGACATTTTTCGATTGAATGTGTTGCAGGGGTGCTTGGGAAGGGCCTGCAAGTTTCCGGAATTTTTTCTCCAAATTCCGCTTTGAAAGATCTTGAAATAAAATCAGTGAATGCAATACGTATAGCCTTATTTCACGCTTTACGAATAGGGAATTTAGGTCACCAGTTCAGTGCGTTATCTCCAAAATTTGCAAAGGAGTATATATTTTATAATTTATTGCAGTATAAGTAAACCGCGTTGAACTGCTTCAGATCGTGTAATGGTTTCCGCGGTAACAGCTGAGGCCGGCAATTTTTTTCCAGATTTTGTACCATTTTACATAATAGACTATCTTCAAACCATTCATGATTTAGTTAGGTGATTGTACTACTGTACTGTATGTGGTTCCAAATTGCCACTTTGACAGTTCATTTTTTTTTTTTGGAGGATTCCACTTGCTGTTCGGAATTGTATACGGTACATTACGGAGTGTTGTTTGTCTGAATGCTGAAGAGAATCGAAAACTTTAACCGGTGCATAAGTGCCAGGACATTCATGATCAATAATATTATGCTCTTATTTCCAAAATTATGCGTTGAAAGAAAATGTACTGTACTACAGTATACTCGTTCTCGACGTTCGTTCGGTGCATTCTTGGTTGGTGTCGATCGGATAATCGGCGTGCCTGTAGAAACGGGTCATTTAGCCCAGTGTACCCCAACCCGTGGTCCGCGGACCAGCGCCGGTTCGCAGAGGTTTTTTGCCGGCCCGCAGGAAATGTTCTGCCGCATAACGAGTTGATAAAATTAGAAATGAAGTCTGTTATCTTCATCTGAAACCTTGGAAAAACAAATGTTAGTTGAAATTTTCTTTAGAAAACTCAAGTTGGCTTTTCTCTTAATTACACCTTAGAAAAATATTCGCATGCTGAAATATATTTTTAAATTGTTCGGTCTGAGAAATCTTTCTTCAAGCCCGCCTTTCTAATTTTTTGAAAACTTTCCACTGAACTCCTGCTGCATTGGATCTTAATTTTTTCCAAAAATGCAAAAACTTTTCAAATGTCTGCCGTAAAGCTTTCTGAAAAATTTTACGAAACTTTGCCAGTCCGCAGAACATTTTTCGGCAATTTGCCGGTCTAAAAGGTTGGGAACACTGATTTCGCCCACATCTTCGAGAGTTGCACTGTAAGCGTATCCTGCTGTATGGATAGAACCCGCGCGGGCGGTTTCAGGCTCATTGGATCAGTTTTAGGAGCTTAAAAAAAATTTGACGGATTTCTGGATGAATTCTTGTGAATACTCATCATCCAGATCTTGAGGGTTTTTATTATTAGAATGAACAAACGAGCTACCTGTGAGCTTCACGGGAGAAACCAGTTTAATCCGGTGCGTCGCTAACTGCCGGAACTAGTCGAATGTCACGCTTCGGGACGGTGTATATGTAATTACAGTACTTTCTCGTGTTCTTCTAGTGAGACGCAATTAAAAACTGAAGTTGTTCATAAACGCGTTTTTATTATTCGACGAATTTCCGGATGTATCTTATTTCGTGTTTTTTTCTCATTCGCAGATTTTGAGAATTATGGAATCTGAAGGTTTCGATTTCAAATGGGAAGATCATTCGAAAGAAGTTTTTGCATCGATACGAAAAATTCGTTCTGATCACGCCTTCGCGGATGTGACTTTACATTCAGGTGGAAGAAATTTCGTGGCGCATAAGGTTCTTCTCGCAGCGTCGAGTCGTTTTTTCGAAGATCTTCTGGCTGGTCTTCCTGCGAACAAATGCAATGTCCTTGTGCTGACTGATGTGAGGCCAGAGATTTTGCGTGCATTGCTGGACTTCATCTACGAGGGAGAAAGCTCTGTGGGGAATAATCTCCTTGAAGATTTTCTTACTGCCGCGAAAAAGCTTCAAATTCGTGGGCTGCATTCCTTTGATGCCAGAAAATCGAGGAAAAGGAAAACCTCTGGCCATCTTAGGGGATCGACGCAAGAGAATGATGACGACGAGGTTGTCAGTCCGGGAAGGGAAACCGCCGAGAATACACCAGTTAATTCCACGAATGCATCCGAATCGGTGCGTCATGATGAATTCTTAGTTGAAAATTCGAATTTGATAAAAATAAATTTTAGAGGCTTTGAAATTTTACTTTGGACACGTTTCAGAACAGTATTGTGTTGTAAACTCGAAAATGTCATTTTCATTGACCTCGAAAATTTTATTTTCTTTGACCCGACAATACGCAGCCCTTCTCAGTGAAGTGAACTTACTAGCTTTGTTTAAATTTTTATGGAATTTTTCTTTATTTCCTCCGAAGGGATTTTTGTAAGTTTTTTTTTTCTTTCTATTGTAGAATAAACCGAAATCAATGGTTTTAGGTCCTTCAGTATCGCCGACCACTGAAGAAATAGACACTGAATCTTGCGTGCAAGTTAAGGTAGAAACCGGAGAAGGGAAGGAGTTTGATGACGCTTCCGCTGAGGTATAGTGTTGAAAATCACGGCTGTTAATCGAACTCATAGTTCGCTCGAATATCAAGTTCATTTCATTGTTAGTGGGTTGAGGAGGAAACATGTGCTGACGGAGAATACTGCGAGGAAGGAAACGAGCAGGAAGAATACATCGTTGACCTGGAGAACTCTGATATGAAAATTCCACCAGAAGTTTCCAGGAAAGTGAGTGCCGTGACTTCACGAGCTTATGCAGTAACATCTCGTTACAACGAGATTTATTCATTTCAATAAAAAATTTTCGGTCCCTGTCCGATAGTCGGATTTTTTTTTTTTTTCTAGCGAATTTTGGTAATAACAAAGCGTTTTTAATGTCCCAGACGTTTCGTTGCCGCGAGATTCTTCTTGTACTGTACTTCTTCTAGTCTATGCTGCATAAATTATCGCCTTTATGAACGTATTACACTTGGTAAGATATCTACTCGCATCAACTCTGGGTAGCGTCAAATTGGCATTTTTTAATTGCTTTGCGAGAACTTCCGTCTTAGAATGACATTTTGAAGTAAATAATTCTTCCGGCTGACAGCATCCTATTCGGTTGTGGCGTGGACATAAAGGCGTTCTCGTTGGGAGGGAAGCTGCGACGGGAAAGGCGAAGTATTGGTGCGGCTTTTGCTGTTACATTGGGAAAAAATCCCATCATGTCGTATACCACGTACGGATTCACACCGGGGAAAAACCTTACACTTGTCATCTTTGCGGAAGGAATTTTAGGCACCATTACAGCATAAAGCAACACTTGATCCGCATACATAAAGGTATTACATGTGCACATCTGACGAATACATTCTGAACGATGCTGTGTTGCATTTAATTTGTTTACTGTAGGAATACCACAATATTCCTGTTGAAGTGCGTGGAATATGGCTGGTTTAAATTGTGTTTCCGCTTCCACTGTTCAACATTCAAGAATAAACCAGTCATCCGTAGTTCATCCAAAATTTTCCTTGTTTATTTTTAAATCTACCGGTAGTTTGTTTCTTCTGTGCCACGAACGATGCCTTCAATCTGTCGTGAATCTAATTTCGACATATCCGTGCCGTCCCATCATTCTACGTGTGCCGAATTCTACCTCAGTTTCCGGTAATTTAATGAAGCGACATATTTTAAAGCTACAAAGTAAAAAAATCCAGTTTCGTTCAAAATGTATTCCGAATGTACGTCCACCATCTATGTTTCAAATTATCCCTGTTTTTACTTGTATCTTTCATGTAGCACCGTATTGAACACCGTGATGGAAGGATTGCCGTTTATTGAAGGACGGAGCAGTTCGGGCGAAGATGTCCTTCCTCGCCTGTAGTACCTTGAAGGATACCGGATAGTTTGAATGAAGTTCACGGCCTGATAGGAATTCGTGTTTTATCCTTGTGATCTCGATTCGATACTTTTTGATTGTGTTATGCAGGAGCCAAAAGGTTACTCAGTAGGTAGAAATTAGGAGAAGGTATTTTTTCCTTTGAGCGGAATGCTCTCTCGTACGTGGGCTGTTCAATGTGTTGCTTAATCGGAAACTTGAATTATGGCTGGTCTTCTCACAAGAATTTTTGCAGTCAAAAACGTTACTTAGTGCGGAAATTGATTTGGCATACTACGTTGAGATGAGCTTTTTTATAAGCAGGATAGTGCTGTATTAATGGTATAATTTGTCTGACAATACATGTGTGACATCATTGGAAACAAAGGTGCGGTTTCTCTTTCGGTGAGAGTTTAAACGTTGAATCAAAATTGGTGACTAAAACAAGGATGGACTGGCATTTCAGTAATAAGTATCGCGGTAAACGATCCCAGTCGGATTTCTTCGGATGACCCATTTACGTATCTCATCCGCGATCCACAGGATTAGCGAGAACGGCATAGGCACCAGCCAGAGATGAGGTCTGCAATGTTTCGAGCGATTAGTGTTCTGACAAGTGATCCTTAGCGGCTGTAAATGTATTTGACGAATACCTGGCTTGATGCATTTTCAGAGCTTCGTTCACGTGCGGTGTGTAGATCAGGAATATTGTTAGAAGGGTCTCGAACACCAGTGCAAAATTGAGAACCCAGTTTCTGAAAAAATAAAAAATGGTCATAATTTTCTTCGTTATGGGGTTTTCGAAGATTTTTAATAATAAAAATTGAATCATTTTAGGAATCTTCCCTAAGTTAAGCCTTGATCACCGGAACTGTTTCGCAATTGTTGCGATGAATTCACCGTATTCCGAGTAAAAAAATCAATACTTTCGTTAGAAGAATAATAATTATGTCCCGAAAGCAAGGATTATTCGTCGAGAGGCACTCTTCGAATGCACGTACGTGGACATTATTTCTGTACCGGGTTGGCCAAGTAAATTTGTTCCTGCCAATTTAAAAAATGCTTAAATTCTAGTCCTGTATACTGAATGTGAACTTGGACAAAATGTGAGTTTCTGATTGTTAGTCTCGCTTTTTCAGTAGTAAAATCATGCCAGAGTACAATACATCCTACATACATGTTCTCAGTTGGACGAAGGCAATTGTATCAATCTTTAATCGTCAAGTATCTCACGAGTGGTTTATACAAAATTCAAAGAAAATTCAATCAATTTTCTTTCTTCTATCTGATGAAGCACAGCACAGCATCGCTGACTCGAAGGTGAAAGAAATACGGTAGAATCTCGTTGCAGTGCATCTGTGTATAACGAATTAATGTTAACAAATATTTTTTTTTTATTCCTTTCCAATATCCTAATTTCGTTTTCAAGAATTTGTGCTTATAATGAAGCTTTTCAAGGTCCCGAATGCTTCGTTGTAACGATACTTTACTGGACAATGTTTTGGTTGTTTTTCTTGTACAGTACTCACCCCATACCCTGCGTGAAGATTGAGTTCCTTCGGGTTTTTGATACTATCAAGTTCGCCCACTGCATCACGACAATAGCAGCGAAGTACATGGCTTGAAATGTCAATTCGAGCCTTAGTCTGTCTCGATAAGTCTGTGTTCGCGAAGTATGTGTCATCGATTTTGATGAGTATTTGGAAGTTTATTCTGTCGAAACTCACCCATTCCTGTCCGTAAGAATCCTGCAAATCGTTGACCACTGGTGAACTCCACTTGTTTCTGATCCCAACGAGATCTCTCGGTAACCAACCATTTTCAGCGAGGATCAGAAAATAAGTGAAGAGAGCCGTTAAAGATTCCCAGGGGCCTTTCTGCATGTACGCGTGCGCAATGCATCTAATAGGATAGAAACGCATTCCATGTTATGATTGAACGCTTCAGTTTAGTTACATTTTCCATCATAAACATTTGTTGTTCTATATCTTTGCTGTGATGATGTATTAGAACGATTTGACGTGGACGTATTAAAAGACGTATCAAATCATTCCGTTCTCCTCCAAATAGTGAATAATTTCATGTGAACAGCACCAATATTACCAGCGTTCCTATATTTTGAAGAAATTTACCCGGTTATGAGGAAGTTGACGCGTAACATGTTCTTCGCAAGAGTTGAAGTGATCCCTGCACAGGATCTCCTATTTAGTTGCTCGAAGACATTACAATTATTCACAATAAGAAAGCTAAAAGTATCATTCTTGAAAATGGGACTAATATATTTGACTGATTATGGTTGCATGTATTAGGGCGCTCAATAAATCTTTAGATTCCACATGCAGTACGTTGGAACGACAGAGACTTCGTCATTGAAACGTGCATAATGGTCGTAATCATGCTGTACTACAGTACAGGTATATACTACCTAAAAATTTACTCCACTCGAAAAAAAGGTACTGCACTGAGCGTAAATTTGATATTTTTTCATTCTATGTTGAAGTACTATTTTAGTCATTTTCGTGTACAGTACACTGTACCTAACGTTCACGAGTCTCTCGCGTCTCCGTGGAGGTCTCTTCATAATGTCATGTTCTGCCTTTTCATATGCCAAAGAAATTGCTGGCACCTGTAAGAGAAATATTCAACAAGCTATAAAAAAATAAGCCACTGCTGACGCGTTTCGGTAAATGAATGCTGCGATTGATGTCGGTGATTATAGTCAAGATTGAAGCAATTCGGATGATGGTGTTTTGGAGATTCTTACCATGTCAGTCCCGAGATCGATGCAAAGGATAGTTATTGTACCCAGAGGCAAGGGGACACCTATCAGCACGTACACCAAGAAAGGCATCAGTTCAGGGATATTCGAGGTAAGCGTGTATGCAATGGATTTCTTGAGATTATCGAAAATCGTTCGCCCTTCTTCAATTCCAGTTACAATCGAGGCGAAATTGTCATCCATCAGGATCATGTCCGCTGCTTGTTTTGATACATCGGAGCCAGCAATGCCCATTGCAATCCCTGCGGACGATGTTCGTTTCGTAATGTTCACGCAAACGTGAGATGAAATGAGCTTTTTTGAGGACTTCGACGAGATAAGTTTAGTCTTCAAATTTATGTGATACCTTCTTTTTGCGCATTAAAGTACTGTACAGTACTTCATATGGTAGTCCATACGTATTTACTTACACCATTTCAAACATTAAAATCTCATCAACTCATTGTACAGAGAATTTGATTAATATTTTCTGTGAATCCCAGCAATTTGAAAAGCGATAATGAGAAATCTTGCGGTTTCACCTCATAGATTCTGTTGAGCAACACGTGGTACTGCCTGCAAAGTTAATTTTACTTGACGTGGAACTTACAATTAATCATTTAAATTTATTTTCTGGCGCACTGTGAAGCAAGAAAAATGGAATTGTTCAAATAACCTTAGAAATCTACTACAAAAGCAAAGACACTGAATTTAGGATTAAAAAAAATTAATTTGCCTTCGAAATATAAAATGCTTTTATTGCATCTGTCATATTTTGGTTGATACGGCCGTTGAAAGAAAAAAATCGGAAAATATTTAGTAAATTTCACCTGAACTACGGTATCTCCAAAAACCATGCAAGTTAAGAGAGCAGGATGTATGCAGGATGTACAATCTGGAGTATTGACAATTTACAGTATTTAGAATGTTGAATTTAATAAATTTAAACTTTGCATGTACAGTTCTTAAAAATACGGAGTGATTATTTTTGTAATGACTTAATACGAGGTATTTCAGATTACATGCCCATAATTTTGAAAAAAAATTTACACAGATGATAACCTCTCAATTTCTTAACCTCGATCTAAATTATCATATTCCCCTTAAATTTTACGTGAATACGCTACTTTCAGCTTCTTGTCCATGATTACGATTCGCAAGTTGGGAAATCGAGCATAGAATAAATGCAATGAGTAAAAAGAATGGGTTATACCGATGTCAGCTTTCTTGAGAGCTGGGGAGTCGTTAACCCCGTCTCCTGTTACTGCCACGGTTTCTCCCATGCGTTGACAACTTTCAACAATTAGCAGTTTTTGCTGTGGAGAGGTTCGTGCGAAGACGATTTCGGAGTATCTCCTGAAAAATGCATTCCGTCATTTTCACAAAAATAAATAATTTGTGATTATTTATGTTGCGTAACTGTCTAGATAGCCAGAAAAGTTTACAGATGCCTTTCTGCTTCTAATCGAGATTCGGACGATGCCCTCTTGTTATAATACGGGACAGGTATTCATAATTTGCCTGCTGGTCGCTGTAATACTATAGAATACAGCTCAGAATGATCTCTTATGTGTGCCATAATATTTGCAGTGGATATATCGTCAAATGTGTCTCTGGCGTGGTTTTTCTTATACAGAGAAACCGGTTTGCCAAAAGAACTCATTCATCTTATACTTGGTGGGAGAAAGTGAATTAATGAAACGTACCCAATGATTCTGTCGAGGTCATCGGGCGATAGAGTTTTCAGATCATTGCCATGCAAAGCAATCGCATTGGTTTCTGTCTTGGGATCGATCTCGAACCAGGATTTACCGGTCTCTTCGGAAATCTCATCAGCGGTTTTCTCTAATGTATTGTGTATAAGACGCGACAGAAAGAAAAAAGTGATGGAATCGTTGCATCTTGCTCGGTTTGGTTTTTTTTTTTATTTTACCCGGAGAAAGAATCCCAACTTGATGTGCGATGGCCTTTGCCGTAATCGGATGATCCCCAGTGATCATGATTACTTTTATGCCTGCTTCTCTACACATTTCGACTGCGTGGGGCACAGCTGCTCTTGGTGGGTCAATCAGGGCGAACAAGCCGGTGAACCGCAAGTCCTTTAATGGGAAATTCGGTTCCGGAGTGGTTGTGTAAGAATGACCGGAAGTTCCCAAGATCTTGTCAGCGAATCCTTTTGAAAATACCGGTACCCAGAAATTAGAGTCAAAACGAATATTCCTGAATATTGGTGTCTTTTTTTCCGGTCTGTGAAATCAAGTTTCTTGCGAAAAGGCCATTTATTCGTTTCAACGTGCGCGTCTTTTTTTTTTTTTTAGTAGCACAGGGTGAGTCTTCGGAAATAGGGACTTCGTAGTTTTCAATTCAAAATGTTCATTTATAGGGTAGTCCAACCATGCGCGTACGTGAAGATTATATCTCTTCAAATCATTGAACATCCTTCGATCTGTCAGTGTTTATTAGTATTGTGTGAATATTTTCCGTACAAAATTAAGAAGACCAGAAATGGGAAGCAAAGATGTGATTGAAAGCCATGGACCAGTTTATGTGAGGATCATTTTCTTGGTGATATCATTCGAGAGAACTCATAGGTGACTTCCCTAAATTTGTCATTGTATTGCTAGTTCACAGCATCTTTCATGATGCATCAAGTTCACTTCTTGTTTTCCCCCTATTTTCTGGCATAATTTGAAGGAAGTGAAGCATATTTGTTAGCAAACGTTTCAAAAATGTTTGCGCTGGAAAACTAGGGTGCTTCTTTAAATTCATCGGGTCTTAACTTGGATTGCACGATAGTACTTCGGGATGATTTGTTTTCAAGATATTTCCGTCTGAAGGGAATCGTCAAAGAGCGAATTCACTAGATTAATGAAAATTCTCGGGGTAAAAAAACTTTCTGCTGACCTTTTTGTTTTCACGAGGAAAAGTGGAAAGCTAGGTTTTGTGGAAAAATCCGCTTACCTAATACCCGTTCTCCCTTGCCACCGAGCTCCAAGTAAGCCTTGTTGAAAAACTCGGTGAATGTTGCGTCAATTGGCAAATCTTTGCCTTTGCTCGTGAACGTGGTGCAGAAAGATAATATCTTTTCGGGAGCACCTTTCATGACCACGATGTCATAGTCGTTGACCGTGTCATGGTGGACACTCACCTGCGTTACGAGAAAGATTCATCTTTCCATGAACTAATTTTTTTTAAATAATTTTTCCCGGGGTTCCACCTGATATTTGTTGGATGAGTTGAACGGAATTTCTGCGACCTTTTTCCTCTTCTTTTTGTACTCGGTTAGATTGTCCAGGTTCAGTTCGCAGAATTTAAGTAAAGCAGCCTCCGAAGCATCTCCTGCGACTGACCTGAAATGATTCGGAACCCATTTGAGTCGGCTCTTTCCGAGTTGAATGAAAATCTTACCGTTGCATGACGGGTATCTTTTCCTGGTCGGGAATGAAACTCGCTTTACTGCAAAGTGCTGCCACATTCAGGAGGGCTCTCCAGTCTGGAATATCTACTTCAGACTTCGTTTTTTCTGCGGAAGAATTTTATTTTTTATATCAACCTGAAACGATCAGGCCGATGCCAAACCTTGGCCCTCCGTAGTGTCCGCGGCGATTATGTGTTCATTGTACCACAAATGAGCTACTGACATTTGATTCTGCGTCAGAGTTCCAGTTTTGTCGGAACATATGGTTGTTGTTGACCCCAGGGTTTCGACTGCTTCTAGATTTTTCACGAGACAGTTCTTTGCCGCCATGCGTTTTGCTGTCAAAGTTAACATCACCTGTGTGGAATTTTAACTTTTTAGTACTACTGTATACCACCCGCGAAAATTTTTGATACAGTCCTGCTTGATATTGTGGATCGAAAAAACATAGAAATAACGATCAATCATGCTTTACCGCGAAATTTTGATGTTTATTGAGAGGCTTGACTCCATTCATTCTTTTGAAGTCCAGCAATTTTTTTTTCGGAGTGGAACTCGCAAGTTTATTCCTATAGTAATATACAGTAGTAAATTACAATTTGCGTCTGTATATGTGGATGCTCTTCATGTCTTCAACATCCTTTGTGGATGATACTTCATGTCGCTTAACTTCAGGTTTTAGTATAATGCCGCATTTTGTTGACATCATTTGTTGGTTACTTCGGTGTAGTTGGACTTTTTCCTTACGTCATTCATAAATCATGATGAGGCGCCAGGTCAATGTTCGTAGCTTAAATTCAAGGCCAATCTGAATTCCCACAAAAAAATTGGCATGGGCTCTTTGCGGTATGCCTTATTGTCTCATCAGCAATGACAAGAGAAACATATACTGAACTTACGTACATTACTTCAATGAGTAATAATTATTATAATTGCATCGATTTTAATAACATGTCTCATTGTAGAAATTGACAAATGCAAATAGCCAGAGGTATTGAATCGGTTTTTCCAATTTTTTTAACATTAAAATGAAAAGGATTCGGGAAATCCCGATAACTGTATCTTACCGTCACAGTGAGTAGTAAGCCTTCTGGAACGTTGGCGACAATGATGCCTATGAGAAACACGACAGCATCAATGATGGAGTACCCAATAATGAGAGAAATTATGAAGAAAATGACACCCAAAGCCACTGCAACAGCTGTGATCAAGTGCACAAAATGCATGATTTCTTTTGCGATTGGCGTTGCCCCTCTTTGCAATCCCGCAGTAAGTCCTGCGATCCTCCCTATTACTGTTCGATCTCCTGTTTGAATAACGAGACCTGTGCCAGATCCTTATTTGAAAGAGAGAAAAGAATAAATAAATCAGGAGAATGATTCATAATGTACTGATCAATATGTTCAAGTGCTTGGTAAATGCAGAGATTTCGATTGTCAGAAGTACTACAGCGGGACTTCTGACGAGAAGTTCCTGCTGTGCACAATAAGTTCTGCTGGTTATTCACCAACAAAAGTGGATCACCAGAAAAGAATAAAAAAATCCATTTCTGGGATTAGCGTAGTCATGCAAAACATAATTTCCCCTCAACATATAATTGAGCAATTCTGAATACTTTCCAAAAAATCATAGAATACATGGAAGGCCTTTTAAAAAACTGTGTAACTGCTATACTTATTATCATAAAATTGTGGCACAATCATGATAATTTCAAGTTATCAATTTTCTTACGTTTCACCACCAGGGAAAGAAAAAGCGACATTATAACTTTGCTTTTTTCTCCCTTAAATGTTTTCTTCAGTAAAATAATTTCAAGTTGAAACTGAAAATTTGCTAAAATACATGCACAGTATTTTGAGAAAAAATGTTTGTTCAGCAACTGTTTACGCGCCCTCATTTCATGCCCCAAAAATTGTTATGCAAATTTTTTGGCTGTGCCATTTGTGCGCAGGGACATACAGTATTTCATTGACGAGATCGAACAGCAGCGCGTGATCATCCAGGAAAAAATGTATATCCACGAACACACTGTCTCAATTTATAAGTGATGTCGAAAAGTAAGTACCTTCGACGCAATTCGTGGAGAAAAATGCAAGATTCTGCGTTTCGAGCGGGTTTTCATGCGATACTGTGGGTTGTCTCAAGAGCGGTTCAGACTCGCCAGTCAAGGAAGAGTTGTCGACTTTCATTCCATTGCTGACCAAGACCCGGATGTCAGCAGGAATACGATCACCGCCCTTCAACTTAATCAAGTCGCCCTTGACCAATGTTTCGGCCAAAACCGGACGTGAAACTCCGTCGCGTATAACAAGAGCATTCTGCAGAAAAAATTAATACCCCGCGATTATTGAGAATCCTTTCATATACACTTCTACAGGGTATATATATAGTGGGCCAAAAAAAGTGAACTGATTTTTTACTTGAAATAGCTTAGTAGAAAATTGAGCTAATAGCTAATCACAGCTGCCACATTCCCATTCCAATTGGCGGCTTTTTAAGACCCTCCATGCAGGTCTTCCAAGGTAATTCCGCCATTTTCATCAACAGCCGCCACATTCCCATCCCGATTGGCGGCTGTGGATGAAAATGACGGAATTACCTTGGAAGACTTGGAGGCAACCCTTGGGATTAATGCCAAGTAATGATTTCAAGAATTTTGAGGGGAACGCTGGGCTACAACAACAAAATCTACAGGAAGGACGCGCCTCATCTTTTGAGTGGAGAGCGGAACTCAGCCAGGGTGACTTTTGCAAAACATTAAAAAAAATGTGTCAAGGGCTGATTTTTTTTTGTATGCCAAAGAATATAATTTCCCTACGGAATAATTTTTTCAGCTCAATTATATGCCAATTTAATTTATATTCCAAGAACTTTTGTTAGACAACCCCTCCTATATATATACTGTATACACCGGCCCAATATGGTCGCTGCTGGCATTTATTAGAAACCTACCCTGCCAATTGTGACACTTAGGAAATGTAATACCCCTGCTTTTCCAAGTGTTCGTAAAAATAAACCTTGTTTTCTCCTGAACCGAAAAATTATCCTATTATTTTTCAAAAGGTGTATAAGAGCAAGTATTTAATGGACAAAATAGACGGCGGGATTGCAAAGAGGGGCAACGCCAATCGCAAAAGAAATCATGCATTTTGTGCACTTGATCACAGCTGTTGCAGTGGCTTTGGGTGTCATTTTCTTCATAATTTCTCTCATTATATTTAGGCCCCCCCCCCCCCCCCCAACAGGTTTTGAAGAATGCTCCACTTGCTGTACATCAATTCCTTTATAGTCGTATAGAAATTATCCAATTTCGTGCAGAAATTATAATTTCAACTAAAAATCTCGATCCAGGATAAAATTGTCATAATTTCCGTGGATGAAATCTCCAATTAATGGAATAATTTGGGTCTCTATAGAAGTTTTTGTTGACAATTGTTCACCTGCATGTTGCAACAATCCGACAAACAGCTTGGAAAATCAGGTTTTTCTGAAAATGTATGCGTGCAGCACTCACTTGAGGAACCATCTTTTTGAAGCTCTTCATGACATTCGACGATTTCCGTTCTTGGTAGAATGAAACGATTGCCGTCAACACCACGACGAACGTGAGAACCAGTCCTAAGTAAAGCTAAATTCGGAATATGTTCTCAGAAAAATTATCCGTAGGACCGTCGCCAGCAAAAGGAATTTACGTTGTCTGGCGCTGGTGCTTCGCTCGTAGCGACATCTATGCAATAAACGATGAAGCACAGTATGGCTCCGAACCAGAGCAGAAGCGAAAATCCTCCCACCAGATGTTGCAGGAATTGCAAAATGACGGGCGTCTCTTTCGGAGGCGTCAAAACGTTTCTGCCATCGCGTTCCAATCTTTTTTCTGCTTCTGACATCGACAAACCCTATATTAAATCAGGCGCATATGGAAGTTAGATTTATATCTGGAAATTATCACCAGGGGTGAAAGTTTCTCTGTTTCTTTAAATTATTTTTTAAAAACTGAAATTTACCATTCCGCTTCGCGCGAGATAAATTTTTAGCTACTGCTGCACTCATGCTGTATAGATCGGTCTGTGAACTGGAAAAAATAATAAATGGCAGTCTGGAAGCTGCTTGTCACACGTACGTTAGTGATATCCGTGTCAAACTTTTTTGCGAGTTCATTGGGGGCTAATTTGTGCTCCTCTATCTCGACTTCGCGTTTCAACTTCTCCAATCTGCTGTCTTCCTCTTCTTGCTGACGCTTGGATTTGTTCCATGGCATCCGCATTTTTTCGCTGTTGATAGCAGTGTTGTCGGTACCGCTGCTTGTAGCATATGACTCACCCTTCAATGTCTTCTCCTCATATGATTTTTATTAGGGGCGCTCTTTATACTGCAGCCTAGCTATACTGGGTATATAGATAAATAATTCCCTTAAAAGTTGACGTAAGATTTTGAAATTGTGAAGGTTATTATTTAGGATGAGAAACCACGTGTAACAATGAATTTATCAGCGATCAGGCACTTTTTTTTTCATCGAATGAAATTTGGTCAATATATAACCCTAACAGTAGTGAACATCATGATCAGCCAGCAGTAATTTGATGCATGCATGCAGCAGCAGAGGAATGACTCATCCCAAAGTTTTTTTTTTTTTGTCCCTGCCCTAATTTTGGCTCGAAACTGCTGTTCAGGGTGCCAAAATTACTGCCCGCTAACGTTAGATGAGTCTTTTGGGACTGCTGCTGCAGCACATCCTCGAAACGTTTCATCAGATCGGGAAGATTGTATATTGGGTATATTTTAATGGAAATCATCAGATTTGAAATGTGGTTTGCGTAAGCCCGCTCATCAAAGAATTTTCTCAATTCCACTGAGATGCATCACTAGCATCACTATCACTTTACGCATTTGATTGTTTCAATTGAGTTTCCATTCGTAAGCGCAATTATACTAACTCGGATATTTTTCTTGAATGCAGGGGCCTCGGCAGTATACAGTACAGTATTGTATTACGAAGCCGTGATAAAATAAAACCTTCATCCATCACGTAAACTGGGCTTTTCTTGTTTGAGCACAATGCTGATGAAATATTTACGTTTTAAATTTTCTCAGAAAATTTAAAGTATATACTCAGTATGTACTGTGCCGTATTTTTCTTCATTTCCATGTTGAATTTTAATTGCTGGAGGTTTGAGACAAATTTATTCTGACCTCAGCACTCGAATTATTGTGAAGAAAATGTAATCTATTGCTTGGAGAGGGATTGATATACTGTATATGTAAATGGCTAAACTAATCACCTCCTTATTTCAATATTTTCACCAGTCGGGATTGAATATTGAAAACTTTTACTGCTGTCTATAAGGAATAGATATTGTATTTAAAATTAGTCAATTCAATAATTATTATTGTCAGGCGTTGAAAGTAATTTGATTTTACTGCTGTATTTTCGAAAAGCTGCTGATGGGCAGCTGCTGCTGCCCGAAATTCACTATTTTCAATTCTAAGTGCCCTGAATGAGTGCTGTTTCCTTATATATAGTCAAGAAGACAACGCAATCTCCATCTCCTTGAGTTTTTGCTCAAACGATACTAATTATATGCATGGATTTTAAATTGTTTTTTATCATTTTGTTTTCTATTCATGAAGATGGAGACAGAAAATGAATCAATTTCTCCTTTCTATTGATTCATCCCTGTGATGATTAGCTATATATAATCAGCTTTTGATAGATACAGAATGTACATAATAGTTCATTAAATATACTGTACCTGAAAAATGCATCACAGTATCTTCAGTCAAAGAAATACATACATATGGCGAATGTTTTCTTCGTTTTTTAAAAGCCGTCTACAAATACAGTATTTGAAAGCGAAATATTCAACTATATTTAGATGTTGTATTGGTAGACCAAGATGCTGATGATGGAAACAGCACGCACAATTTGACAATAAAAATATAAAACAAATTACGATCAAGTAGACTTGATTTTTTAAAAGTTGATCGCTCTTAAAACTTAGGGCGCATAAATTTGGCCAAAAGGGTTAATGACAACCCTTTCTGTCACATGTCCATGAAAGTGTTTTTTATGGTATGGATTGCTAGATACAAATCGGAGAGTTAATTTAGTCGCTACTCTATGATCATTCTACGAAGAACATTCAATTGATATTCAGTTTATTAAGTGTAGAGTTTATGGGAGAAGTAGCTCCAGTTTATGCAGGGGCTAGACTTTTTTAAAAGCATCATTTGATCATTTTCTCAACACCAGGTAAGTTTACCCGGTACTGTAAAAGTTTCATTGGCAAGTATCAAAGTCGTCATCTGGCATGGCTGAACGGAGATGGCTGCGCACTGGGATGTTCGACGTTGATGCGGTAGAAGATGCAAGTGCTCCCACATCGGGTGTCCTGACAAGTAAATATTCGGATGTAATGTGATGTACCTTATTGTGGAGGAAATTCGAACTTCCGCAGAATGTAGAGGCTAAGAAGTCGACGAGCTCGTTGCTTTTGGTAGTACTCGGAAATTTTCTCAGTTTATTTTTTCGTGTGCTTGAGTTACCCGCGGAGGGCCACTCACAGTTTGGCTCTTCTGAGATAAAAATCTCCACGAGTGTACTTGCTGAATTTTAAAGACAAAACTCGAGTAATGCGGGTACCTTCAGGATTTCTTCTAGTTGTGTGCATGTCTGTACGGCCGTTTCATGAGAGCTATCCGACGGTTTAGGCATATACCAATCAGTGGTACTGTGCTTTCGAGGCGATGTGTCTTTCGCTTTCATGTTTTCTGATAAACAATGAAAGTCGAGTTTTGTATTGTACTTTCAAGTTTTTTCCTTTCAGATTCGATTAGGAACGTGTTCCGTGCGCGATGGCTCCAACGGATACGAAAAAGGCGCCTGCGTAAGTATCTTCGGTTCTCATTCATTAACTACCTTCGTCTATATATAATCTACGTTCGGTAGACCGAAGCCTGGGAAGAAGTTGCCGTCTGTTCCTGAGACACTGTTGAAGAAACAGAAAAAAGCAGCAGAAGACAAGAAACGTAAGGTTCGCAAGGTGGTTGCAGCGAAGAAACGATCAGTCCTGAAGCAACGCGAATACTTCAAGAGGGCGGAGAAGTACACCCGCGAATACAAATTATTGGACCGCGAACTGGTTCGTCTTCATCGCGAGGCCAAGAAGCATAATAACTATTATGTGCCTCCGGAACCGAAGCTTGCGTTCGTCCTGCGAATTCGTGGGTGAGGCATACGTTTCTACCGACTGATATTTTAATTGCTTTTGATTTGATGACGCAGTTATTTGAGTTGAATTTTTCTCTCCTGAATTTATGTATTTAGCTTCTAATGCTGTTCGTAGGAGTAATTTAAACTTTAAAAGCATTTAACCAAGGCGAACCAAGCGAAAAGGTTTTATGAGCTTAATCGAGTCGGATGGACAGCAGATGTTCCTATTGATCTGAGTTATGATCTACTTCTGATACTGTACTTGATGTAGTACTGAGCAACATTCTATTGACGGTTGGCTTTTCGATTTCACAGTATCAATGGGATTCATCCGCGTGTTCGGAAAACTCTCCAGTTGTTCCGTCTGCGTCAGATCAACAACGGAGTTTTCGTGAAACTTAATAAGGCCACTCTCAACATGCTTCGTATCATGGAGCCGTACATCGCCTGGGGTTATCCCAATCTCGCTACCATCCGAAAATTGATTTACAAACGTGGATACTGCAAGTTGAATTATCGGCGCACACCGATCACGAAAAACACCACAATTGAGCGCCGACTCCGTAAGTGTTGCGTTGACGGTTATGCGATATGACAGAAATCATGTCTATATTTAACTTTTGTAATATCTCATCCGGATTTTCTTTTTCTCGTTCTTTGCAGGCTCCAAGAATATTATTTGCGCGGAAGATCTTGTCCACGAACTATATACCGTTGGACCGAACTTCAAGCACGCCTCCCGGTTCCTTTGGCCATTCAAGGTACGGAAGATATTCATCACATCTACTCAAAAAACAACTCATCAAATGCAACACGCGCGTGTTTTATTTTCATTCAAAACGAGTGTGCCTCCTAATGCAAGGCACAATTCCTTTGCAATCAATTTCTATAAAATCAGAGGAATCTGTTGAACCAGCTCCCGTTGCGAAGCAGATTTGTATTTCTTCGAACGCTTTGAAGCGAAATGAGGTCCCCAACTCTTGATCCGTCAACTGAAGTTTGTGATAATGTGAGAATTTACATTTGAAGACAGTTTTCGTCAAAAGCGGTATACATCGGTTCTTCAACTGAAATCTGAGACGCCATCTAACCGAAGTGCTGGATATGACTGCTCTTTATATTAGACACAATTCTTTATATCGCATTTGAATTCCGGTATGCTGAAGAAATTACTTTCAAAATTGCATTTATTTCAGTTGAACACCCCGACTGGGGGCTGGCGCAAGAAGGCGAACCATTTTGTTGAGGGAGGAGACTTCGGCAACCGCGAAGACAAAATCAACGAACTGCTCCAGCGGATGATTTAAGTTTTCCTGCGCCCTGGTTTATGCAGAAGTGATTTTGTCGTTATGAAATGAAAGAAAACATCACTGTCGAAGGGAAACCCCAGTCTTCCTATGTGTCTTCTTTTCCAAATTTCCCCACATCTTCTTGGTCTACGCCCTTAGATTAACGTCAGCGAGGTAACGGGGCTATGGCCGTCGCACATTTTGTATCTGGCGATGGACGGAAGTCTCGTTTTTCTCGTGAATCCCCGTTGTACGTGAGCGTCAAGCTGGCTGTCGCCGTTCATTCGGCGACACCTGGAACTTCACTGGAGAATCGGAGGGAGGTAATGGATCGATTTCAATGTATAGCGGGACGTCATTGATTATTTCAACTTCTCGCAATAGCTTCAGTGGTCTTCGGCGCACGGTTTCGTCGGTGATCGTGGATGACCAATGTGGCTTTGGATGAGGTTCATTTCGCGCTCAATGTGGACTCGCACTTCTTATCGGTGGTGAAGTTCCTAATCCTTGTTCACTTCCGCGGGATTGCGAGGAAATCCCTTCGGCGTTCTTTACTTTTCAGATGCGACTGCTGAATGCTTAGTATTTTTACTTTTGCATCATGTCATCCATTTTAATTTTCTTTGCAAGTGTTCGAGTCCGTCGTCGTCCATTATAAGATCGGTACGAAGTGCATGATAGGTAAAAACCTTTTTCATCTCGAAGGAAAACAAATGAAGAAATTAAATTTTCCTGAACTAGAGAAGAAATATCTTTAAATTGCTCAACCCTTACACTGTTTTCACACTCCGACTCACAGGCTAGTCTTCACCCCTGAATTGCGCTTTGAGAGCTTCAAAATTCAGAAGACAGTCTATCCATCGAAATTATAAACTGTTGTGGAACCCCGATCACATGGGCTTAAATCGATAATGTCTGTGTACCTTCTAAAATCACGATAATTTGAGCGATTTTTTCCATCTTCTGTAATTCTCATTGAACGTTTCAGAATCCATGGACTCATTTCTCACCATGAAGGGACCTAGACTTTTGGGCTGATGTACTTCGGCTGACAGGTCTTGATTTTTTCTACGTTTCGGGTAGAACCTTCAAGTCCTAAATTATCGCATTCCATTAACGTTGCAAAGCCTTTTTGATAACAATGTGTAATGATGGAAAAATGAGATATGTGGCGTACAATTTTAGCGTTTCGAAATTGTCAGTGTTTTAACATTCTGGATTCCAACAATGTTTAGGGGAAGACTGAATTCAATTCAAAATACAGTATGCAACGGATGTACGTCGAGTCTTTAAGAAGTAACTTAACAGATTGTATTTGCTGTACCTTAATTATTTTAATTATAGACCCTCTGTCTAGGAGTACGTCTTGTTGAACAGTCGGAGATGTCCCTTGTCCAATGTTATCGAATCATAGACAACGTGTGCAGTAAAATTCAGTGAATTTTTCAGGGATATTTTTTGCATATTTCAATGGCTCAGTTTAACCGTTTTCTTTTGTCTCATTCCACGTGTGGCGTGTTGTTCTTGATCCTTGAAATTTTCTCAAAAGTCAAATTATCCTACTCCCGGGGTTTCCTGGTGGAGGATGGACAATCATGGGCGCGCAACTCACTCAATAGTTGAAAGCCAGCTATTACTTCTATGTACTCATACTGGACTACATTGACCGAAGTGTGTACGGTATATGTACCGTATTTCTGAGGCATATTTTCTGTTAAGTTTACTGGACTATCTCCCGCGTCGACAGGATGTGTAAGAAGACTGTTGGAGTGTCAGTATCTTCCACCAAGTGATACTTTATTCCCCTGATCTCCCAATGCCGTTAGTCACGAAAGCCAACAGATTTCGTTTACGCGTATGAAATGTTGCTCGATTCGCCAATTTTTCGCCTCCTGAGGTTTAAATCACGGATATTCCATTGTCTTGGCTCCGTATTTCTGCGGGGTGTTATCTAGAAAAGTAAATTGTTGATCCGATGAGTGAGTAGAAGCAAAGCGCAATCTTATGTCAGTGGGATGTTTCTGTGGAAACGGGAGATATGCTTTTATACCTATTAATTTGGCAGCTTTGATTTTTTAACCACTCAAGACAGTATTACTACATACAGTATATTTAAAATCACGATTGTGTTTTGCGAATTTTTTAAGTATCATTTAGACTCCACGAGCGCCTCTTCACGCAGGCAGACATGAAGAACCGGATTTTCGTGGGGCAAGTGTGTGTAAGGGACCACTAGAATAGTGGTCGAATAAGATTGTGGGCTGATAGGAGGAAGAGTGATCAGGTCGTTCTACACCGCCGTGATGGCCGAGCTAGTTCAGAGCTTGATTCGCTGGAGGGGGGAAGAGAGGAAAGGAGGAGTGGGATGCGCGCGCACTTCCTGTCCGTCTGTCACACCGCGTCCCGCTCTCTTTCCCACTGTCACTAGCTCGACTCTGTCTGCGTTGTCTCCCCCAAACCACACCGGGGCGTTCGGAGAGGGAAGCGCAAGTCCATGACGTCAGGTGATGTTATACAGTGGAACGAAGTTGGGAGCCTCGGACGAGGAGCCCGCTTGACTAGCCCTCTTGTATAGTGCGGCATCGTTGGAAACATCATTTCGCTGCCGCTCAGTCGAAGCTTGCGCTGGTATTGAAGTGAACGCTGATTGTTGGAAGCTGTGTCGTACATGTTGCGCAGTGACATTTTCTGTGCAAGAAGGCGAAACTGGGCAGCGAAGAGAAGGATTATGTGTGCGAAACGACGTCGATACAGAGTGAGTTAACTTGATTTCACATTCGAATCCTTAACGATGTCGATGTGTTGTCATGTTTCGTCTTTCATAACTATGTTAAGCCTTTCTAAATCATTTTATTATGAAGTGACGGCGTCAGAAGTAAGAATAGAAGGGTGTGGAAGAACAGTCGATTTGTGTGAACACCGTCAAATGAGTTTGCAGTAATTATTCATGGAATGATCGCTTCATCATCAGTTCAAGTTTTAAATTACTGACGTGTCTTGTTCATTTCGATGAAGTCCTACTCTGCTTTGCGACGTTCCCCGTCGTTCGATGGAGTACAGAACATCGAATCCTCGTTCGTGTCCCTTTGTCACTGTGTGACTATGTTGTTGCCGCATTTGAAGGTGTCGAAAGGGTGTATTTTCTCGTTTTGTTCGTCAACATCCTGAAAAAGCCTGCATGAATGATGCATTGCTCTGATGAACCACTGAAAGTCTTCTGAATCATATCCTTTTTCTGGTTGGATCGGCATGCATGAGTTCTTTCGTCTGTTGAGTATGAAATGGCGGTTTACTGAATGATGGTGCGGTGGTTTGTGCAGTTCGAAAAATCTTCAGAACGTTGTTGCATCCCAGAGATCCTTCTTCGATTATGTGTGAAAAAGGCTTTTTTGTACGATGCGCCCATTTCTGACGCATTACGAGGATGTTGTTTTAGAGTTCTTGTTAGCTTCGCTTGAGGTAGATGGAGCGAGTGATTTTTGTTTTGTTTCAACAGCGTACACATAACATTTGTGATTTCATGCCACTGTTTAAAATTCAGATATTTAGCAAGAATTCTTCGGTTTTGAGTACGGCAGCTTTTTTATTAGAGTGCGCGTGCGAGAAGCGTTCGCTTCTAAATTTTCCTTTGTCTCCTCTTCGCGTAAATTGTGAGAATTAACCTAGAAATCGTATTGTGGTATCCATAAATTCGTTGGTTCGTAGGGAAGCATAATTTTATTCATTATCAGTCCCGATTATGTATCAAATTTTCAAACAGAATTTGATTCGGAGAAACGCTGTATTACAGGGTTACTCGTGGAAGAGATGCTGTTCAGAATAGTGACTCGAGGTGATGCGATCCATGGAATGTTAAAACATATCGGAAGCATGATTTTCGTGTGGAAACACTTCGGGTCTAACGAAAATTTTTACTATACTGTACCGTACTTTATTTTTATTACTGAAATCTGTGGTTTGGATTATTACCCGAACTCGGTGAAGTACTGTACAGTGTTCGATTCTTTCGGTCAGTGAGTGCGTGTATTCGAACGAGAATGGACATCCGCGGATGATGTTTTGTGGTCAACAACTGGAATTCTCGCTTTTTTGGAATGTTACGGTAATATCGAAATGTTCATAATTCTACTGAACTGAGTACAAGGCCCTGGAGCCTGCGAATAGTTCACCATGATTATAAAATGCTAAAATTGCGAATATTCCAAAATTAATCGCTTCTGACTTTTTTAACTTGAAGAAATCTGTCATTATTCTGAAATGAATACAGGCATGCGTCTCTTGATCGAATAAGCCATCATAATCTCTTCATTGTAAGACTTAAACAATGAAGCGATTCAGGCTGAATGCTTAAATCGAACTGCGAAGTCATAGGTTGGAAAATGCTATGCAATTCGTCAGGAATTCAAATGAATCTACTGTAGTTACTGTGGCAAAATTGACGGATTTCTCAGTGGCTTAGTATTCACTGAAGAAAGACTGAATTTAACATCAATCCCCATTTTTGCGAATTATGTAGTACAGTACTGTAATCCAATTTCGACGCGTTCAGAACATATGTGAAGTTGGCTCTATTTTGTTCGCGCGAAAGCGGACTTCATTGTTGAGCCATTGAAGTAGATACACATGCATTTAGGAGCAGTGTCGCTGGGTGAGCTGCAGCAAGTTACCGCCTCAACCATTTTGAACTTGATCCTTGTCGAAGTTAATTTTCGACGGAAAAACGGTACATAGTCATGTATCGTAATGAATTAGGCTCACATAGCCTTGAGATTTTCTCGATCAGTGGCGTAATCCGTATTCGGTTCTTTTCGATCGTGATTTTGGTCCTTTTTGAGTTCCCTGACCTTCGTTAATTTCAAGAAGTTGGCTCGCCTATGACTTCGTAGAGATTTTAGGATCAGCCGTAGAATCTTAAAAATACATTGTAAGAATAGTCGTGGAACATAGCGAAATGTACGTTTCTTGCTGGAAAGTTCGCATTTAACATTTGAACTGTTCCACATGTGAGATTTAGTTCACATTCGATGAAACGTGGAAACGTCGAGCCTCGTCGGTACATCGAAGTCAGTGGTGCATTGTTTCGTTCGGAATGAAAATTCCACAAGCTTGAGCTTCCTGGAGAATCGAGGTTGTAATCACTGAGGTTAATGTCAATAAAAACCCATCATGAGAAAATTTATTTTGCGTAAAATTGCGACCTGTTGATATGTGGAAGATTTGATTCGAATATCAAATAAGGGCCAGAAATTGGGAAGAGTTCTACTTCATAAACGCGTTCCACATTTTAAGATCACGGTTTTGTTTGCATGAATATTGAGTTATTCAAAATTTCCAACACTTCATCATTGTTTTTCAGCAGCAGCGGAGCAACCGTGCGAGCACGGTGTGAGAGGGTGCCATGAAGCGTCAGCCGGGGGCAACAGTAGTGTCGTCCACCACGAGCAGCATCAGCACACCACTGAATCCGGCGACGTCAAGAACCGCCAGCGGGACGGGCCCGACGACTTTCGTCATGGCGCCCACGTTAGGCGCGAGTTGCACTCCGCTGCCAACGAAATCAAAACCCGTCGCTGTGCGACAGAGGTTGGCTACGCCCGTCTCACAGGTTTCCCCTTTTGCCCAACGTGCTGCAGTAAACCAAGTGCCTGCTGCATTCACAGTGTCTCCTAGAGGTAAGATTTCACTGGCGTATGATAGTGAGTTTCGAAGTCCGTGAATGCAACCACGGATAAACACGTGCAAGATCGTCAAATGTGTTATGATTCTAGCTGTTGTGAATGTCGCACTCCAAAACAAAGACGGGCCGATTGTTAGTCCAGTTCTGCGAAGAGTTGAAGGGAGCGCTGGACAAAATACTCCCGTTTTTGTTACGGTTGCCGGAACTGTGGTTGCAGGAAAGGTATCCCCAGCAGTACAATTTCCGACAGGTGGATTTCCGACACGGCCACCCTCAAATTCGGTGAGTTCATCGTCTGTCGATGATTCGTTGCAAGTTAGTTTTGACTGAAGTTGAGTTACTGCATAGATGGCTCCACTGAATGCTGTGACCCATGCCACGAACATGGGGACCATTCGAACCACTGCTATCGTCCGGCCAGTGAACGCTTCCACATCGACTCATTCAATTAGAGCACGGGTGAGAAAAATTATTTTATATCTTACCGCCTTGTTCATGTTCTTGAATCGTACTCTGCCATTTTTACTTCATTTCTACCGCTAGTAATAGGGTTTTCTTGGTTTGTCTTAGACGGTATCGGTGACCCCTTCAACGCAGTTGGTGCCCTCAATACCGAATCAGCAAGTTCAGCGGTTGAAGGTTGAAGATGCATTATCCTACCTCGACAAGGTCAAGTACAAATTTTCCAATGATCCCGGTGTCTACAACAACTTCCTCGACATAATGAAGGAGTTCAAGTCTCAGACATTGAGCACTCCGGGTGTGATTAAGCGGGTCTCATCTTTATTCGAAGACCATCCAGAATTGATCGTGGGATTCAACACGTTTTTGCCACCTGGGTACAAGATCGAAATCGCGACGATTGAAACGGTTAGTTTTCTGAACCGTTTTTCTGCGGGTTTTCTTCCGATGAAACGCATTGCATGTAGTAAATTACGAATAAGCACCAGTCGTACACGCTGTTGTGTTCAGTATCTGAACTTACGGCCCTTGAATGCGGTGCGATAATGAAGTAAGGGAAGTCGTCGCCTTTCCATTTCAAACGTTTTAATGTAATGGGAAGTGTATCCGTCAACCCACAAATTTATCTCTGCTTGGCAAATGTAAGATGCCGAATTGGTCGTGGATTACCGATTATCGTTTTCCGCTACAGGGCAGTAGAACTGCAGGAGAACCAAAAACAAAAACTACAACATTGATTCACACCCCCGATGGGATACACGAGCTCTCGCACGCCATGGATCGAGGAAGGGATTCACTGAACGCTGCATCCGTCGTGATTACACCGACGTCTCCTCTGATAACGAGGCATGTATTTGTTCCATTTCTGCAGACTTTATCCGGAAATTTCAAGCGATCAAAGATTATCTTAATTGATATCGAGTTTTTCGTGAATATGTTTCATTCTTTCGATTGCTGCCGTGATGATCATTTTCTGTCGTATTTTTATTGACGACACAATTCCTCGTTTCTGATGGCAAGATCGTATGACTAAATCTGTTTTCGAAGTTCAGCTTCTGTTGACAGTTCCGTGATAATACTAGTTTTGCCCTCATAATTGGATCCGTCTTTCGAAGCAGGCCGGTATCTGTAGCAGACGCGAACGCTATGCTGACGCTCAAGACGTCCATGCCGATTACAGAGAGAGTGGCGAAACAGTCGTCTCCAATCGGGCATTCCTTGGTAACGACTGTAGCGGGCAGCTTGGTCGCTGCCCCGTCTTCAAGTGTAACCCATATAAATGCATGTACTATACCGGTGACGCTGTCAACGTCGTCGGCCGCTTCCACCATTGTCGTGTCTTCGTCAAATGTATCTTCAGCCGTGTCAGCCGCAATTCCTGTTCTGACCTCTAATACTACGCACAGCAACGACACTGGTGCGACCAATTCCGTCCCTCAGGTCGAGTTCGATCATGCCATCAGCTACGTCAATAAAATAAAGGTGAATGTCGGATTTCTCAATTCAGAAAATTGACATGGTGGCCAAATCATAGCCGCTTTGGTGAAAGTGCAGTTTTTTTTTCAACGTGTTTCACAAGAAGGGGTTGTTTCAATGCATTTTTCATTGGTTCCTGTCAATTTTTCATTTCATCGAAAATGTGATCTAGATAATGATGTTCCCGTCTTAGTGACAAATCTTGCGAAGCCGCCGTTGCTTAATCCGATGCTGATCTTGTTTTGTCCTGGACTTTTTGACTGACGAAATTCAATTCCTCGTTTCTGAATGGATGATAACGGCCCTTAAAATGCGTGAAATTCAGAAGTTGTACAGATTTTTTCCAATCGAGATGGGAAGGGAAGTTAAGTATTCCCAACTCGGATTTTATACTCTATATCAGTTCGAAGTAGTAAAGGTATTCGACAATTGATTGAATCATACCAGTAATCGATGGCGAATTTACGGAAGTTGAAGAAAAATAAAACTGAAAAAATACACTGCGGTTTACTCTGTGTATGGAACGAGTTTCATGTTATAGGTAAAATTTCTTTCCCCGTGACAATATTAATGTTCTTTTGTTTCGGATACAATTCAAACTGAACAGATATACCTCGATAAAATCGATTAACTTCGTTCCTTCTGCTTTAGCCTGTGATACCCGTTATTTTATATGGTGTTTTCATGCCCCTGGCTTCTATTCGTGCTTTTTTATATATATATCTTCGAAGTTAACCATTTGTTCAATATTCGCAGCTTCGGTTCAACCATCGACCCGAAATATACAAACAGTTCCTAGAAATTCTACATTCGTATCAGAAGGATCAAAAGGATGCCCGAAGTTTTCCTCAGGGACCCGCAGGACTTCTGAGTTTCCCACCACGTGGTGCGAACACTTCTGCGAGTAAATTGAGCGAAGCAGAAGTTTACGCCAAGGTGAAGAAACTTTTCGAAAACCAGGATGACCTTCTACACGAGTTCAGCCAGTTCTTGCCAGAAGCAACCGGGAATAATGTGTCATTGGTAAGTAGTTGATAGTCTTCCCAAGAATTCGACATTAGTTCCGTATCGATTTAGTCCGTAATTACTGTATGATGATATTTTGAATCCGAAATTATGTTTCATCGCTTCCGTATGATTTGATCGGGTACCATATTCTTGTGATACAGACGACGAAGATGTTGAACGAACACGGATCTCTGAACAAACTCGGCGGGAGTTCCATGATACAAACTGTGCACTCAATGGCCACTTCCATCCCTCCTCCTGGGCTCATGTCAACGTCAGTAGCGAGTATCAATCAGGATTCGTCCAAGTTGCCTCCCTTGTCGAACTTGCCTCGGACCAAGCCGGGTTTCTCTCAAAATTCGGTGATGTTGGTTCAGTCGAGTCATCAAGGGTTTCAGAACCGCCAGTCTGGGGCGAGTGTCCATCGGAAACCCGTTGAGCAGGTCTTGAGCTCTCCGTTGATCGGGACGAAGCGCGCCGTACCCCCTGTTACTAACGGAGGCCAGCCGGTGAGTCTGAACGGGCAACCCCCCGCGAAGAAAGTGAGGATGAGTGCGGGTCGGCCGGGCCATCTGGCGGCCACAGCGAAGTTTAGCAGCTTCAGGGAGTTCTCCTTCTTCAATCAAGTGCGTTCCTTCGAACAAAAACATTCACTTTTTCTCTTGTTGATCAAATGAAAGAGGAAATACTGTAGTATCTTTTTGAGATTGATTTAGCTAAGATTTGGCTTCGAAACTTGTTGCTTACAGATATTGTAGTGTGCGAGGTCTTCAGTACATTATCTGATGAAAAATTAAAAATAAATTGTTGCAATAATGCAACTTGGGAATGTATCGCAAAATTTTACTCCAGAATACTGTACATTTTACCGAGACGAACAAACTAATTTGATATGTACGATGTATGCTGTATATGACAAATACGCCGATCTCGAGATGCAACCAGGCAGAATAGCTTCGAACAAGCTCTAATTCTATGAACTGTCAGAATGTTGCCAATGAACAGTTTCGAGAGAGGCTCTTTACATGTGTACTCTTGTCATTTGCAGGTGAAGAAAACCTTGGGTGACGCGAGCAAGTATCAGGTTCTTCTTCGTCTTGTTGCGTTGTACAACTTGGAAGTCGTATCCAAGGTTGACCTCCTGGGATCTTTTCAAGAGTTGTTGGGCGATAACCCTGAACTGCTGAAGTTCGTGAAGAACTTCGTTAAGCATCCAAATAACTGGCCTTCCGTTGCATCTGCCGAGGGAGCGAAGAAACATTCCGCGAAAGACAAGACGCCGGTTAGACTTGGTGTTGAAGGTGCTCCTGGCGTTGAGCTTGTAGTAGGAGTAAAATCTGCTGATGAGCCTCTAATCGCAAAAGAAACACCCAAAGTTGAAGGCCCAGGAATTTGGATGAACGGCAGAAGCACACGCTATTGCGAGAGGGACATGGGTAAGTTGATCCGCTTTTTGAGCGTGTGAGGCATTTTAAGTCAAGATAAGATTCGTTCAAGTAATTTTTTTTCAGAAGACCGTGATGGAAAAAATATTCGTCGACATGGTTCAATATTCTTCCAGTTCATGGTTTACTTATACAGTACCTTCATTATTCATGAATAGACTTCAGTAATGCGCGGAGGCTTGGAGCAAGTTACTGCGAGGTGCCGAAAGAACGACAAAGAGCTGAGAACTTCTCAAACTATACTCCGCTGTGTCGGGAAGTGCTGAATCACGAATGGGTTTCGTTTCCTTCATGGTCTGAGGACTCCACTTTCGTGTCCATGCGCAAAACGCAATACGAGGAATACATTTATCGCTGTGAAGATGAGCGATATGAGGTTCGTCAATGAACCTGTTCGATTATATTAAGCGTAGTATGTTTCTTGTAGAAGGAAATAGTTGATTAATACCGATGCATTGTATGTTTTGGTATTGACTTATTTTTCGCGTGCTGTAAGTTAAATTTTCAGGGAAATAATTATTGTGTACTTGAGTGCTGTAGAGTTCTTCGGACGGGATTCATTATTTGGGCATTCGATGAATTGTAGTTTGGTCCAATTACTGTAGTTACATGATTCTCCCTTTTAGCTGGATATGTTGATCGAGACAAACAAGCGTGCGATAGATCACTTCGAAAGGATCTTGGAGAACGTGCACAAAATGTCACCCGAGGAACGGAGTGGATATTGTTTGGATCCAAGCNATTCTCCCTTTTAGCTGGATATGTTGATCGAGACAAACAAGCGTGCGATAGATCACTTCGAAAGGATCTTGGAGAACGTGCACAAAATGTCACCCGAGGAACGGAGTGGATATTGTTTGGATCCAAGCCTCGGTGATAGAATACCTGCATTACTCAGGAAAGCAATTGAAAGGTATCCCATCCATTGAGCTGATATGTTTGAAAGGTTATTCGAGCAGAATATTGGGATTTGCAGGTTGTACGGTCGCGAAAAAGTGGCCGCTTGCGTCGACGCTATCATGAGACGACCGGAGAAAGCTCTTCCCGTTCTGCTCCAAAGGATGAAAAACAAGGACCTGGAATGGAGAGAAGCTCGGCGGGTACGATATTATTTATTTTCTAATTTTGTTCCCTCGTTTAAAAATTTAATTTTTTTCTATATTCGATGCCCTAGGGATTCTTGAAAACGTGGCGGGAACAAAACGAGAAATACCACTACAAGGCGATGGACCATCAAGGTATCAATTTCAAGCAAATTGACAGCAAAAAGCTGAGATCGAAGGCACTCTTGAGTGAGATTGAAACCCGTTACGACACAAGGAATGAAGAGGTTTGTTTTTATTTTTCTTGTGTATTTTTACCAACGCGTTGTTATTTTGCATGTTCTACGATGCTTTTCTACTACACTAACTTTGCTACATGAACTAAATTATCTTATCTCTTCGACTGCGATATTTGAAAGTTCATGTGACAAAATGACGTGAACATTCATTCTACCGGGTTGAATAAACAAATAAGTTCAGCTTTGAATATAGAGCGATATTACGATTTCTTTTCTCTCGTGAGTCGTGAGAATATTTTCTGGAATTTTGCTGGAAAGATGAGAGAATATGATCCATATTCGGACTGTTGAAAATGCTTGCTTCTCGTTCCAGGCAGAGAAAGCTGGTCGAGAGCCCGGAGTTGGCCCACACATGCAACTGTCGTACTGTGATGCACACACGTTGGATGACGCTGCCACTCTTCTGCTCCATCACGCCAAACGACAAACAGCTGCAGCACCGCATAAAGAAGACCGACGCAAAATGCGCCGAGTTGTTGAGCATTTTCTTCCACAGCTGTTCTTTCGAGAGCAGCCAACATCAGGAGGGTGGAGTTTAGAGGATTCAGACGCCCGGGATGATGACGAACATTCCGGTGAAAATGGAACAGAAGATGTAAAAGAACAAGGTTTCAGACAATAGCCTTGCCTAGACTGCTCACTCTTTCAGCAGCGTCCCGAACTCTAGTAACCGCCTTTCTTGCCCTGCTCAAACGCTCGAGTCTCTGGTGAGTATCGTTCCAACCTTTTATCCATGTCTGCGAAGCCTCAGCCCGTTGGCCCCCTGATTAATGAAGTTCGTCCAAGTATATTTGTGAGTAATCTGGTTGATTTTAAATGATCGTTGCTCGTCGTAGAAGGAATTTCGGCACTTCTTTGAAGTAGTATCTGCATTTCTTGAAATGAAAATCAATCTCAGCGTTGTTGTGTTGATGATTCGGTGAGCGTAGTCGCTCATTGTTCCGAATCAGAATATTCATGACACGGGTAAAATATTTCTTGTCGTTTCGGTGAATAATGTAACGAGCTCGTCATGTTTTGATCGTGGCTGGTTTGATGTTTGCATTCGTCTCTTGATATACATATTCATGCTCGAGAACTGATGAAAAAACAGTACTGTACTTTCAATACAACAATACATTATTAGTGTTGTCGGTTATACCATACCGATGGGTCATACAGGTAAATTATTTTATGTAAACCTTCTAAATAATATTTAATGTATTACAGTATTATAAAGCTCATAAATCTATCCTGGTTTTCTTGTGGGTAGAACTGTGAAAGAGATGTAGTAGTACGCTCTGATGCATTGCGGCGTATTCAATCGATTTTAAATTGGTTGTAATATTCTTGTATGCTTTTTATTTTACCCCATATCTTGATTCGAGTGGTAAACTTGAACGAGAAGAAAATTGTACCAGCTGTTCGAGGATTTCATTAAAATCTAGCAAGTCTTGAAAGTGATGGTTCTTCCGTGGCTTTTCCGTTCTAGACGACCGTAAAATTGTTTGCCATCAAATCATATTTAAAATAATTCGGAAAATTTCAGAATGTGGGCTTTGCGAGTTTTCGATGAACGTTTGCAATCCCTACATAATAGGTTGTTTTCAGTGTTAACCGTTTGTATTACTCGAGGGTTGTATCGTCAATCAATCGAACTTCGTGGTTCCTTTTCTAGGAAGATGAAAACCGGTTATTCATGTGCAATAACTATTGGTACTTGTTCCTGCGTTTGCATCACATGCTGTGCGAACGCCTGAAGTACATTTACCGTGAAGCATCTAAGCGAGCCGAAGAGGCCGAAGCTGAGCGAATTCATGGACACCGAAATGAGCCAGCTGCTGAGATGCTGGGCATGCGACCGAAAAGTTAGTCATCATTTCTTTAAATCTATAGCAATCCCCTTCTGCGTTCATGAAGTCTTGGTTCAAGTACCGGGAGAATTTTTTTTTTTTAACTAAAAGAAGACCATTCAGTATTTTATACAGTACTCAGTGGTGTAGGTAGAGCACACATCCCAAGTCTGCTAGCGAACACGTGCAAATACTCATTCACGAACAAAGATTGAATCCTCAATTATTAAAGGTAAGCTGGAAATCATCTGGAGCTAAAGACTAATTCTTTTGTCGAAAGTGCTAATGAATAAAGAGGGATTGGCACTCATCTGAACTTCGAAGATATAAAGAATGTGGCGAATTTGAAAATTGTATCGCTTCATTCAGTCTAGTTCAACCTTGGCTTATGTAAGCCGTGATCCTCAATAGCCTTCCTATTTTGTGTCGACGGAATCTTCAACTTCGTACCGCTCTGTTCTGCGTTATTGTATTCGTTTTCTTTCGTCGTTCTGAGTAACTGTGATATTCTAGCAGATTCTACCTTGTCTTTATCTGCCACGTAGATCTGAACTCGAGCTAGTGGAATTGGCATGAGAAGTTCAAGAGCTTAACTGTACTGTCTTGAACATGACATAGAGCGGTTGTTACGTTGGGCGCGTAAGACACGCAACGATTTGTATTTTCGCCACAGTGCTTCACGCCTGTTTCAGGAGTAGGAAGTACGGTATTTCGTCTAGACTGTTGATTTCGTTCTACTGCACCATATTTTGGATTAAGCCGAACGAAAAAATGAATGTCCTTAAAAAAAAACACACACACAATACCGGCTTTTAAAAGGCGCTGAACGAATAACGTCTAGGTCTAGTTATTAGATCCTGTTTGCTGCGACGTCCATCGCAACATCGAAGTTTGTTTCTTATTGAACAATGTACTCTTCGTAATTCTAACGTCCTGATCACATTACTTGTGCTTTCTTCTCAGGAGGAATCGATGTTGAAGATTACTATGTGGCTTTCTTGGATATGGTGAAAAGTCTACTGGATGGCACCATGGAGGCAAACGCGTTCGAGGAAACCTTGCGAGAGATGTTTTCTACGCGAGCTTACCTCGTTTTCACTATTGACAAAATTGTTGTCAATGCAGTGCGACAGGTACAGTATTCCAATTTTTAGCGACGTTTCAAAGTTCCTGACCGATTTTGTGTATTTTCTCATAGCTGACACATATTGTTACCGATCGGACGAGTCAAGAATTGATGCGGATATTCGAGACGGAAAGGAAGCGTGGCAATGTTGATGCTCTTAATGCTCATCAGCTCTCTCTATCAGCTAACGAACATCCCTATCAGAAACATGTCGAAGGTGTCCTGGCGGATCAAAACTGCTTCAAGTTCATCATGGTGGGTTTTTTTTTTCGTATCCGTTTGTTAGCTGAGCAAGTCGTATGATGAGAGCGTCGAATCTTCTTTCCCCGGCCTATAACCGCTCATTATCAAACAAACCCGTGAGGAGAAGCGATTCTTCTGAGAATTCCCGTGATGAGCGATTGTACCATACGGAAGAAAACTATTCGTTGATACATTACCGTGTTTCGAATTTTAAGGTTTTCTTGATGTGAAGTTTTTACTGAAGGTCGTTTCAAGCCTTCCTGCGTTAAATCAGCTAAGCATATCTTCCGGATGACCCGGATCGACTGCTCAGGATTGCATGATTGAATCTCATATTGTTTCAATATTTTCTTGATAAGTGATGAAGCTTCGATTTTTGCAGTCGAAAGAGTCATTGAACGTGAGTATTGAGCTGATGGACACGGACACAGTGGAATGGGAAGAAGAAGAAGAGAAAGAGCATAAGGCGATGCAAGTGGAGCGTTGGGAAGACTACGTTGACAATTATCTCGAAGAGAGTCATGCAGTTGTTGCGACCGACAAGATTTCTTCCGCGTTAAAAGCTGGAAAGGAAGATTCCGCCTCTGAGGGGTTCCATCGGACCGCTGCTGTTACCGAATTGAGGCGGTTATTATGTAAAAAGCCGTTGTTCTTGCCGAGAAATGCCCGTGGTGGACGTTTGCGGAATTGCGACAAGCTTTTGACGCGATTCGACGAGGCTAGCATCGGTGTCCCGGTCGTATCCTCTGATGTCTTCCGTGTTAAATCTTCGCCGGTGTCTCTCGCAGATCGGGACGAGGGTGAACCATCTCCTGTGAAGAAAGCTCGGATGGACGACGAGTGAGTAATAACGCTTCCGGGCCGTTTTAAGCATCTTTTCTTCTGAAATGGGATTGTCAACGGGGGTAGTGAATTGCGATTCAATTTTCCCCCTTACTTTTTCAGGGAATTGATCTCTAGTGAAGGTATTGGAATTGGTGATGGCAACAGCACCGGGAAACGCACAATCAAGTACCTTTTGTACCGACCACGTTCCCTCCAGAGGGCGCGAGAGGTATGTTCTTAATTTATCCGCCAAGTTATCAGAAAAGTATTGTGCCGTGTGGACGTGGGAACTTTTTTGTTCATAGTTACGTGCAACGAAAAATTGGAATGAATTGTTTGTGGTTCAGATGTTTCTTGTAAGTGAGTGCTCCCAAGATAATCTTGAGAAAGGTGGAAATCTGGATGCCTTTATTTACTGAATAAGGTCGTTAAAATGCCAGTGTTCAGGAAAAACTATGTGAATTTATGGGATCTATTCAATTTTACCTCATTCGTTTCTTGAACTTGCATTAGTTATCTTCCATCGTTCGTTTCTTGAACTTGCGTTACTTATCTTCCATCGTTCGTCCCCGAGGAGAACTGGTGTCTGAATAAAAATCACAGCTGGTCACACGTTTTACACTTCCGTGGGTTTTTTTGTTTTTCGTGCAAAGTGGATACCTGTATCTTTCTGCCATTTCGCCGTTGACGTTTTCCCCGCATTTTTCATGTTTTAGGATGGTCTAGAATCTCGAGATTATTCACCTCGAACTTACGTCAATTTAGCTCAGGCATATTTTGTATGGTCACGGTTTTGTTAGATAATGTTAGTTGAGTTTACCTTGAATTCAAGTAAATTATTTTAATCGCTTTCTTTAGATATATCGGAGGGAAATTTTGAGTTACCCGCTACACAATGGGGTGTTACGTTTTTATTTTCAAACGATATTAAATTAGTGTCGCACGTAAAGAGTGGCTAAACTTGGTTAGTGATTTGTTGAATTCTTTTTTTATAGAACAGTGATGTAGTTCTGATTTGATGTGAGGTACTATTCGCTGTTCGCAAGTGCCCTCGAGTTCCGCGAGTCTTGGCAATGCATGTGTTCGAAGAAAAAGTGTGTAGTCCCATCTGAGAAAAGGATGCGTTACGCCTTCGTTGCAGGTGCATCAAAGCGTGTCGGAGAGGCTGAATGGGAAGTTCCGCAGCTGGCACAAAGAGTGGTCCAAAGAAAAAGTACCCGAACTGCAGCAGCGGCTTTGTTCAGACTGGCTTCTGGGCAAACTTGACGGTGTGCGTCCTCATCGTACCAAGGTGCTCACGCTCAACGAAAAGCAGCGCCCGCCGTACTCCCCTTACAATCGCTACAAAGTCGATTGGCCGTCACCGAGCCCACCGATGCCGAGCTGATAGCGGAATCAAATGGGGCACGAGTCGTTATGACATTTTTATTCATTGCGGGAAGAAGGTTAAGCATATGAAAAGTTTCCTTTTGAACCCGTCGCCACATCGTTAATGCTACCAAAGTTTGATCGGATCAAATGGTTGAATTAGTCAATGCTTTTGCTCCATAAGTATCCCTGTGTTGCCACGTCACAGAATCAGTGATCATCAATTGACTCAATTTTTTACTATTGTGGATGCCTCCAAGCAATTGGGCGAACGATAATGTCTCCCTTGACGGCCGTGTTGCTGAGTTGGCGCAATTCCTCGTGCAAAGCAAGATGGGCGACGAGGGCAAAATGATAACTTGTCAGCAAATTTTGGAGAGCATCTGCGAAGAACGTACGCGATGAATGTTCAATGAGGCTCACTCGGAATTGCTCAGCAGCTCTTACGTTTCTCGCCTTGGGCCGGTGATACCAAAGAGTGGCTCTCGCCGTGTTTCCATTGAGCCACCTGCGTTTCCGAATCGTGTCGACGGACGGAACTGTACTGTGATGCGAAACTTTTGCTTGCGGCCACCCAGTCGAAGTTTTTTGTTTCCGTTCAAGTCTTCGGCTGAGGCATGCTCGGAAGTATTTTCCGCTTCCTCCAAGATGGACTTCGATTTCGGAGAATGTCACGGGCGTTCAGCTTGGGCAACGAGCCGTTGACCTGTTTTATATTTGAAGATGGTGTTATTTTTATTACTTTGATTTCTCAGGGAGTTTTTTCTTCCGGAAGTGTCTTTGTTTCGTGAAGTTATAAGATTGAAATGTACCGTTTTTTACATGTTCTGCAGAAAATGAAGTGGATCACCAAGAAATATAGTTTCTTCTGTTAGCAATGATATCATTGAATGTGTTCCTGTCCAATGGAGTGGCAGGATTAGGTATTGCATGAGTGATGGGATTGGTCATCCGAGTATATTGTACCGTTGTTCGAGAAGGGTCTTCCGAGACGCAGGGTTAACCTACAAATCCTGTTATTGGTGTGCTCAAGCCTGAAAAGTTCCTTTCTCTCCATTGTTGAAATACAGTACTGTATCCCCAGTAAGTGGATCGCGAATTCTGTACTGCGTTGGGAGGAATTCTACCTCTTCAAAATTATAACATGTAGGAGAAAGACTTACACACATGAGCTGAGACTTCACGGTCGAACTTGAATTCTTCATCTTTTCGAAACTTTTAAAAAATCATTGTTTAAATCCTGTGGTTCTTATCTCAACTTATTTCATGCTTTCGAGGTAGGCGAGTTGTACGTCTCTCTAGTTCGTATGACAACTCAGTGTGCAAGAATCTTGGGGTTATTTGCCTTCAAACTTTCCATGAGGTTGAAAAATGAAGTGTCGGTCGGTCTTGAATTCATGGAAAATAAGTTAAATTTACTGTTTGACACGAACAATTCTCAGCACCACGAAGTCTGCGTCAGGAATGGCAATGAAGTCTTCATTAAAAATTACTGTAGTTCAATGCCTGAGATGGGATTATTCATAGTGAGTTAATTTGGGCATGCAAGATTCTTGACGCTTTTCCTCAGCCTTACTTTGTTGTCAGGGTCCGAATTAAATAGAATACAGTACAATATATCAAGGCATCCAAGGTTGATCAACACCATGCTTATAAGTCATTCGCGAGTTAATTATCCGGATTGATACGCGTCTGTAATCTATCCTTCGATTCAATGCATATGTTGGTGGTGGCTTTCAAAAGCTGTGCACCGTTTAACGTAACGATTTGGCCCTTCGGTGAAGATTGAAAAAATCGGGACTGTATGAATGCGGTGTCGTAAGGGCTGCACAATAATCCTGAGTGTCGACGTCGAAGTTCGGTCTTGGTGTTCGAGCGTGAAGCACATAGATTGTATTAGAAATGGTGAAGATTCGTTGAGCTGGTATTGCTGGCGGCGGTATGGTTTTCGCATTCAATGTCCAGTTGATTATTGATCGATTTTGTTTAACATGTTCGTAATTACTTTTTCAGGAACGTCTGATGTTCTATATGTGCATGCCAACTGATTCACATGGTGTGCTTCGATGTACCGTCGTTACCAATCGCATGGCAGCTCGTCTATTGATCCAGGTATGAGAAATCTACCGCCTCAGCGCATCACCCGCGCATTAATCTTAAGATGGTCTTTTTTTGAAGTGAACGCATCGAAGCTCTTCGACGAACGGACCAGCCGGTGAACGGCTTGAGGATATGGATTTCCAGTTCGGAGATTGTGAAGCCTATGATGAAGACAACGATCAGCTTCAGGAAATGATTTGAAAAGTTTGCCTTGACTGTGATTTTTGCGAAGTGATTTTGTCATTTTGAAAAGAAAGAAAGCGCTGTTTTCTATGGGATATTGTAGTCTCGAACGAGTATTCTTTTTAATTTTCCGCGTTTTCCTGTTATCGTGATGGAATTGTTTAATTCCATGAAGAATTTCGTATGGTGAAGGAGGACATGAATTTTTTATCGTGTGGGTGCTCGGAAAGCAACGCATCAACGTGGCGGTCAACTTCCATGCTGTGGACGTCCGGAACTTTTCTGCAGAATATCCGGGAGGTAATTCATTAATTGTGGAGTAGTGAAGAGCTTATTGATTATCTTGCTATTCTTGCGATAGCGTCTGTCGTCAGCCGTGCTTAATTGCTTCCTGGGTGATCATGGGTGACGACGTACGTACGTATCCTGAAAGATACGGTCCGCCTGCGACCCGGACGTGGACTTCAATGTAGAGGTGAAGTTCTGCCCTGTTCTAGTGGAACTGGGGGGCGTTGCAGTATTTGCAGGTATAGGAGGAGATATTTGCCCGCATTTGACGTGAATCTAGCGGGTCCCACGCGATTTTATGCCGATCTTTCTTTGTTACGTACTTTCCGTTTGTGTTGCAGAACTTCGCAATTCAGTACAAAGTACCGTAAAAGCTTTAATGGAGCCTCTCGCCTTCCGTATCAAAGAAGTTCACGCCGGTCGACGTAGTTCATTGTTTACATTTTGGAGAATTGTGGCGGTAGGCTTTGATTCAGATTTTATAAAACCGCGTGACGTTTTACGCGCGCGGATGAGAGATGCTGTTGATAATACAGATCCAGTCAAAATCTTGTTGACTCATCACCATACTTCGGGCCATTTTATCGTTTACTTTGCTTTAATTTTTACCTGTATCTTCAGGATTATGCCGTAACAGTTAATTTCGGAGCCGCAATTAGATTACACTAGTCAATATTTCCTGTAGAGGATTTGAGTCCTGTAATGTGTATGGTTGGATTGTCTATTCAACTGCATCCGTTCGTTGAGCTGCGCAGTATTCCGTTGATTTTTTTACGAGAAAGATTTGCGAAGTTCAGTTAAACCCATCCGATTCCATCAAAGTTGAGAAATTCTAACGTACTTTCTCTGGTTTCAACAGATCAAAAAAGTAACAGAGCACTTTTTAACTCCATGATGAACGGAACGTTAATTGACCTTCAATCTGTAGAAGTTGGTCGTACTCTCCGTTGCGGTTGATTTCCAGAATGACGAACTGTACGTGTGTCGCCGAGTGATTCGCATCTTTTTCCGATACTCGCTGAAGAACTTCATAGCTGTGTCTTGAGACCACGGGGCTCGGGATAAGAACCTGTTACAGATGATGTCGGATTATCCGGCAGCTTTTATTTTTCGGAAATATTGCCTAGTAGAACGTCCGTCCTGCGTAACTTAGACTGTAAGCTCTGAACAGTCGGCCACAATGTATCGGATATATTTTCGAAAGAATCGTTTTATCTCTAGTCCTTTTTATTTATGTGCTTGTCGGCCGTATTCATCGTTTTCTATTCGCCCTTCTGTTTCTTTCATCTGAGGTTAAAATCGAGTTGAAAGATTAAGTTAGTCGTCAAGGAGGATCTATGTCCCCCAATTACGCTTCGTTACAAATAACACATTGGTGATTTCCCCAAAGATTCGCAGTCTTCGTGGCTATCTCCTGAACTTTTGCTTCTCATTCTGAATGTGACGAAAATTTAAAAATGGGCAGCCATTAGTTTCCGGTAGAAGATTCATGAATCGGCACTATCATTTTTGAATTACATGCCAGGGAAAAGAAATCTTGCACAACGTGCGTGTACCTTCGAATTCGCACGAGGAGATTCGTTATCATTTGGAGTGATCTTCCCAGAGATTTCTCATTTTCCCGTGATTATTCCATTCATGTCAAGTTTCCTCAACTTTGTCATTAACGTATAGTTTCCCCAGTGCTCGTTGGGATTTTTAAAAATTGAAAATGTCAAAACCGTTAACGTATATCGAAGAACTGTTCCGATTTCAATCTCATCTCTGCATTGTATTCAGAAAGTATACATTGTTGTATGTTCCTCTTGCAGTGAGATTATTGATGCATACGTTTCTGCTGAACAAAATAAGGTAAGGTCGAGTCAATAAATGATGGATAAGGCGTATTCTGAATGGGGCTTCGGGATTAAAAAAAAAACATCTTGCTATAAATTACAGTGGGTGTCTCTTCTAACAAATGCGCCGGTTAACGTTTTGTTTGGACCTTCGCTGCTCCAGCTAACGAACATTTATATTGTCAAATTTGCATCTGAAAAAAGTTCTTCACTCTATCCTCTGTGGCTTGACAAAGCCAAGTTTTACTGTCAATGATTATGTTCTATTGAAGTAGTGGGAGGTTAAAATCACTTATACAGAATAGTTCTCTCAATCGCTTTTCCTGCATAACAGCATCTTCATTTCTATTGTGTTTTGTTACCATGTTGCACACAACTTCCATGCCATCTTCGTTTCTCTCTTCTGTTCAAAGTCACAGGCTGAATTAATAATACTTTGCAGCATTGAAATACAATTTGTTCTTATCAACAATTTCAATTGTAATTGGCACTTTCAAGGTTTAAACACTTCATAATCTTCCAGAAAAGTTTCAATGATCGAAGGTTCTTAACCGCTGCTTGAATCTGTACATCCTTGGGCGTATGTGGGAATGGGGAGCTGAATTGTTCTACGCATAAGCCTCACAGATTGTTCCGATTAATACTGTAGATGGAGCATAGTTGTCAGAGCATCCTACACCCGCGCGCGATGGCTCAGCTAGCGCAGCGCGCCACGTTCATATTGGGAGAGGGAAAGAGGGACAGGGTGCGCGCGCACTTCCTGTCCGTCTGTTTCACCGCGTCTCATGTCCCTCTCTTACAGGGCATTTCGCTGAACCCTGTCTTCGTTGTCTCCCTCAAGCGAGCTGTCTGGGGTGCCCAGAGAGGGATTGAGAGTCCGTGATGTCAGGTGATGTTATACAGTGGAACAAAGTTGGGAGCCTCGGACGAGGAGGCCGCTCGACTGGCCCGCTTGCATAGTACGGCGTCGTTGGGAACATCATTTCGCTGCCGCCCAGTCGTAGCTTGCGTTGGGGTTGAAGTGAACGCTGAGCGTTGGAAACTGTTCTTTTCATGTTGCGCAGTGACATTTTGAGTGCAAGAAGGCGAAATTTTGCAGCGAAAAGGATTATGTGTGCGAAACGACGTCGATACAGAGTGAGTGGATTTTTATTTCGGTTTTTCTCGAAGTTACCTGCAAAACTAACGAGAGGTTATTCGTTGTCCTTCGAAATCGTGGAAAACCCCTGTGAATCACCTCGTTCTGATTTGAAGGCGTGCGGTTGAAGTAAGAATACGAGGGTGTGGATTCGGGTGAAGTCGCCTGAAGATCACCAGATTTCGGTCTTGGATCAAAATTATGTTTCTCAGCCTCGATTACATGATACAGTACTTCGATTTCGGTTAGCTACGCTTTCAATCTTTCGATGAGCATCGTAGAGACTTCTCGCTCGAATCGGTTGGTCCGTGTCTATAGTGAATCTAATACTTCCCGAACATGCTGGATTCGGGTGAGGAACTACGGTATTCCAGTGACTCCGCGAAACCGTGGATTCAATCACCGTTAATTGTGCCTAGCAGAAGACCCCTTGTACATCATGGGCATACCGTTTTTCGATCATTGGTCCTTGGATGTCATTCTTACTTGCGCAGTTTTGGAGTATGATCAGTGATAATATGATTTTGCGGAAGATGCAACGCTTGAGTTTAATAAGATCGTGAACCTGGTGGATCCTCCGTTGCTTCGATCTAACCGATTAAATTCCTCGCATTGCGGAACTTGTTTGGAGAAGTCCCTTCAAGCTTAAAATCTGCGGATTATGTGGCAGAGAAGGAGGTTTCGTAAGTTATTCGAGAAAATCTTCGAATCTGAAAGATGTTTAAGATCCTTTGGAATTGCAGTTCTGTACGAAGTTGCAGAAGCTCTACAATCGTCTTATCTGTTTGTATATCCGACGTAAAAATTCGTTTTATACTGTAGTTTAAATGGTTGCGATGCTTGTGTTAATTCGTTCGTCCATCAAGTGTTCTCGCCTTGTGTGGTTGTACTAGAAAGGGTGAAGCGAATGAAGTCCAAAGCGTTGACTCATTCATATCTCACGCACCATTTGTGCTTCATTATTTGGGTGTCCGCCTTTGTTGAACACACTGATGTGTGTTCTGCCGAGTTCGCTCGAAATCCCGTTTACTCAGTGCATTTGTCCGCGGCGAAAGCCTGCCCAATTGGCTTGAGCTTGTGTGTGTTTTCTGTCTGGCCTGCAAATACTGCATTTATTCGATTATAAGCTGCAGCCATTTCGTAGAGAAAACTTGAGCAGTCAGAATGTAAATGTTCGGGTGCAGAACGCTACCTAAGCATTATTGAGAACGATAATTGCTCTGGTTCTGTGAACTTTCCAACCAGTTCACGGACAGAGATATTCTAGCGTTTCAATACTGTAATTATTGATGCTATCATGTATGTTGAACAACTGAAATGTCCAGTTTCATCTTTTGTAGCCCACATGGCACGAATCATGAACTGTGTCCCGAGTGTAGGCAGTAATCGCCTTGTCGGTGATCTGTAGTGTAGGCCACACCGATGTCTTCGAGCACATTTGGGGGAGGGGGTGCGGCCTATACGGGAGTGGAAAGTACACGATCATGGTTCCCTCTTTTATTGAAGTCTCGTACGTGTTGCCAACCCAAGAGTTCGTGGACAAGCCGTTGCGAGCGCTCTGGTGAGATGCGCGCCAGACGACTGTGTCAGGTATTGAACTTACACACGTTTGTGATGTTGGGCTGGGGAGGGGAATAGTGGGGAACAGGGAGAGGGTAGGGGAACCATGTTGCTGTTTGAAACAGGGCTGCCCGCGCTGGTACGTTCCTCCACCGGACCGAGAGCGAGCGCTAACATGCTCATTTTTTTTCCCTGGTGAGGGGAGAAAGACGAGAGTAGCTTTTTTTCCTTTTTCTTGCGTATCGCCGGATTCTTCTTGGTGGTATTTGCTGTTACGCTGTCTATTCTTGAATCGTTGCCTTATCAGCATATCACCAGCATTTGGTGCACCGTCGCATGTACGCCCATTTTTCCGTCAACACTGGCACATATGATTTCATGGAAGCCCTTTCCCTCCCGCTCCCGCAATACCCATGCGAACGCCGTCAGATTATGAATGCTGGCAAAATGTTTTATCACTAGGTGGGAAGAATTTCTTTTTTTATATTTGATTGGTTGTTCTTTCTCTGGTATCCGAAAGTCGAGCGAATTCTTGAAATGTGTTACGAAAGAACCTCTACCATTTTGTGTGTTGCTGCTAACTGAATGATTATTTCCTTGAAGACTTGGAATTCCTGTTTTTGAGTAAACGATTGCGCGTTTTGAGTCCTCGGGAATGTTTATATAATTAATGCTGTAGTACAGTAGAGAGCTGGACTGTGATTATCCGGACAAAGGAGATACTGTATTAGTCCGAATATTTTGATCTAAGCTATATGCCAAATTCCGTTTGTGGTGAGATACGTTCTTATAAACGTTTTTCAGCTGTCATGCCACTAGTCTACTGGCACCTTCTCCCGTCTCGGCTGCTACATTGTTGTCAGACCCATATGGATAGAGGATTGTTGATAGAAATTCGAAATGCCGTAGACTTGCTGGGCATGAAGATAGCAACATTTCGTGTATCTACAGTCCCCTGCGAAATCTAGCTGAAAAGGGTGCATCACGGGTACATTACTGTAAAATCCTTATCATCGTATACTTAATTGTGGGTTATTTTTACTCGATTTTGTGGTTTTATCCAGGAATTGGCTCCATTTTCGCGAACCGGCAGAAAATGAGACCTTGCTTAGGTGGGTGGAAACGAAGGTCCGCAGTATTAATCAAATTTCATGCTGAAAGAAGAAGTAATAATCGATGATTGGAGTAACGATAATGAGCGTTAAAACTAACGATGCGTCGGAGACCACGTACTGAATTCTAAATTTTGCGATCTAATCTTGAAATACGCTGCATTTAAGGATCACGATTGCATGGAACTACCGTGCTAGGGATTTGCTCTTCAAGAAGTACATTTCTGTAATTTTTCTCAGGATCGTGAAAGTACGGAGTGAGGCGGCCATGAAACGTCAGCCGGTGGCAACAGTAGTGGCTGCAACTAGTACATCAAGCAGCACCAGCGCACCATTGAATCCGGCGACGTCAGTGACAGCAACAGGGGCGGGCCCTCCAACGACAATCGTCGTGGCGCCGACTCTGGGTGCTAGTTGCTCCCCGCTGCCCACCAAAACAAGACCAGTGACAGTGCGGCCGCGGTTCTCGGCACCCATCCCCCAGGTTTCCCATTTTGCCCAACGAGCTGCAGTGAATCAAGTGCCTGCTGCGTTCACGGTATCTCCGAGAGGTAAACCTTCATTTTTTTACCCTGTACCTTCGTCTTCTTCAATAAAACCCAAGGTCCCCTGATAGCAACAGATGAGGACCATGAATATTTTGCATTTTTAAAGTCTTCTGAATGTAATTGTATTGCAGCTGTCGTGGACGTTGCATTCCAAAACAAAGACGGGCCTATCGTCAGACCAGTTCTGCGGAGAGTTGAAGGGAGCGCTGGACAAAATACTCCCGTTTTTGTTTCCGTTGCTGGAACTGTGGTTGCAGGAAAGGTATCCCCAGCAGTACAATTTCCGACAGGCGGATTTCCGACACGGCCACCCTCAAATTCAGTGAGTTCTTCGTCTGTCGATGATTCTTTGCAAGTTAGTTTTGACTGACCAACTCAATGACGTATCTACCGAGGTGACTTACGACACTGGGTACGGTGCTTGTACCCCTGGTAAGCTTGGTGACGATAGCAGGCCGGTCACTTGCGAAGGTGTAGCTGAGTAAGTTAATCTCGTGCGGTGAGAAAAATTATTTTATATCTTACCGCCTTGTTCATGTTCTTGAATCGTACTCTGCCATTTTTACTTCATTTCTACCGCTAGTAATAGGGTTTTCTTGGTTTGTCTTAGACGGTATCGGTGACCCCTTCAACGCAGTTGGTGCCCTCAATACCGAATCAGCAAGTTCAGCGGTTGAAGGTTGAAGATGCATTATCCTACCTCGACAAGGTCAAGTACAAATTTTCCAATGATCCCGGTGTCTACAACAACTTCCTCGACATAATGAAGGAGTTCAAGTCTCAGACATTGAGCACTCCGGGTGTGATTAAGCGGGTCTCATCTTTATTCGAAGACCATCCAGAATTGATCGTGGGATTCAACACGTTTTTGCCACCTGGGTACAAGATCGAAATCGCGACGATTGAAACGGTTAGTTTTCTGAACCGTTTTTCTGCGGGTTTTCTTCCGATGAAACGCATTGCATGTAGTAAATTACGAATAAGCACCAGTCGTACACGCTGTTGTGTTCAGTATCTGAACTTACGGCCCTTGAATGCGGTGCGATAATGAAGTAAGGGAAGTCGTCGCCTTTCCATTTCAAACGTTTTAATGTAATGGGAAGTGTATCCGTCAACCCACAAATTTATCTCTGCTTGGCAAATGTAAGATGCCGAATTGGTCCACCTAATGGCTAATAGCAAAAGGCGATGTCCCGTCATCTTGACGTCCTCTTGGTTTTTGTTTTTGATGTTGTAACTAAGTGTGGGGGCTACCCTATGTGCTCGAGAGCGTGCGGTACCTAGCTCCTCGAGATCCGCCGAGTGCTGCATCTGTCATGATGACTCCGAGTTCTCCGCATTTGGCTAGGCAAGCATATTTTTCAACTTCTCTTGTCACGTGATGATCCAAGTCCATGATTTTTGAATAATAAGTCCTGTGTCTTGCTTTTATTCTTTCAAAAGTATTTTTTTAAGTTTTTAAATGGTTATTTATTCCTGCTCGTGCTTAGAACCTTGCCTCAAGAATTGGCAAATAGCACTGTAGACCGGCCTAGGCTCCCGGACCATCGTTTAAATAACACCTGTTATAACGTAGAACATTCGTTGATAGTTGCGATGATGAGAACTTATTGTCGTGAACTTGTTGACTGAAATTCAATTCCTCGTTTCTGATGGCACAATCGCTGTTGTTCACGTCTTGGTATTCGGAACCTCGACGATGATCTTGCAGATAATTTTCAGCTTTTCTCGACTTTTCAACCACGGATAATCTTCATTTCTTCCATTCCCATGCATCAAAACTTCAATGGTGCTGCCCTGCTGTTATTTGGATTTTTCTGTATCCGAACCTAATTCGATTGTACTATTTTTGTAGGCCGGTTTCTGTTGCTGATGCCAATACAATGCTAACGTTGAAGTCATCATTACCGATGACTGATCCAATGACCAAGCAGTCGCCGCCGATCACTCACACGCTTGTCACTACCGTGGCAAGTAGTCCAGTTTCTGTCTCCGTTTCGACTGGAGCTGTGATGACAGCCTGCTCTGCATCGGTTACACTCTCTTCACCATCTGTCCATTCAGCTACCGTCGTCGTTGTTTCTTCTTCATCGAACAACTCCTCTGCTGTGCCAGCTGTGCTTCCTGTTCTGACTTCATCAAGTACTCAGAGCAATGAAATTGGCACGGCGAATTCCGTCCCTCAAGTCGAGTTCGATCACGCTATCAGCTACGTCAATAAAATAAAGGTGGTCATTTATTTTTCTAACCTAATCGGCTTTCAGATCAACCGATCTATTTTCTTAGTTTTGAAATCGTCGCATGGTGTTCTGAAAATATGGTTTTATCTACAATACTCAATTCTTCTCATTTCGACACTATAATGGCTCAATATTTTGTTCAGTTTTTTGGGAATAACCTTGCAGAACAGTCGTTGATTGTTGCGATGATGAGCATATTCTGTCGTGGACTGCTTGACTGACGACATTCAATTCCTCGTTTCTGATGGCACGATTGCGGTTGTTTTCTTTTGGACGTTCTAATATGACAAATAGATAATAAATGCATAATTATGGCAAATGATTAATATGACTTTGCGATAGTTAGTGTAATTACTTGTAATCCAAGTCCCGATCCGAAAACAAGCCTCGGTTGTATCACTAAAATTTGTTCTGAAGTGTTATGTATCGACAATTTTTTTTAGAAAGAAATGCTTTCTTGAATGAAACGGAATAATTTTTAATGAATGGATTGGATGAATCTTGTTCAGAATTGATATTTTTTGTTTGATAACTGCACTCCGTGGCTTTTGACAATAGCCTGTGAATGCTAGCATGTTATTTTTGCATTCAAGATTTCTCACAAGATTTATAAGTTTCTGTCTTCAATGTACTATATTCCTACAGTACATTGATACTGTATTCCTGTAAAATTGTCGGCGAAAAATTCATTTTTCGTAGTTTTGCTGATGCAGTACTTCAGCGTTGCTTGAAAGATACGACTTAATTATTCGAAGCATCTGACTCATTTTTATTGTGCTTCAATTCAAGCTGTAACTTTTTGTGCTTACAAATTTTTTTCAGCTCCGATTCAACAATCGGCCCGAAATATACAAACAGTTCCTGGAAATTCTACATTCGTATCAGAAGGATCAAAAGGAAACTCGGAATGCGTGTCAAGGGCCCGCCGGATTACTGAGTTTTCCCTCGCGAGGAATGAACGCCGCTAGTAAATTGAGTGAGGCGGAAGTTTACGCGAAAGTGAAGAAACTTTTTGAAAACCAGGATGACCTCTTACACGAATTTAGCCAGTTCTTGCCAGAAGCCACTGGAATTAATTCCTCATTGGTAAGCTACTGATTTTCCAAAACTATGGTTGGGCTACTCCACTGGTGGTTTGGAAATTTGAGAGCATTTTCGTGATGATTTGAATTCGTACATCTGTTCATAGTGTGGCACCATCTTTCATTTTATGTGATGTCCCATTTTATTGTGATACAGACGACAAAGATGTTGAATGATCACGGGTCTCTGAACAAACTCGGTGGGAGTTCCATGATACAAACTGTGCACTCAATGGCCACTTCCATCCCGCCCCCTGGGCTCTTGACGACGTCAGTAGCAAGTATCAACCAGGATTCGTCCAAGTTGCCTCCCTTGTCGAACATGCCTCGGGCCAAGCCAAGCTTCTCTCAAAACTCGGTGGTTTTAATTCAGTCGAGTCACCAAGGGTTTCTGAACCATCAGTCTGGGGCGAGTGTCCAGCGGAAACCGGTGGAGCAGGTCTTGAGCTCTCCGATGATCGGGACGAAGCGCGCCGCACCCACTGTTACTAACGGAGGCCAATCGGTGAGCCTGAACGGGCAACCACCCGCGAAGAAAGTGAGAATGAGTGCGGGTCGGCCGGGCCATCTGGCGGCCACAGCGAAGTTCAGCAGCTTTAGGGAGTTCTCCTTTTTCAATCAGGTACGAATTTGCAATGAATTTAAAAAACGATACTAGAGATGTGATCCTACATTGTTTTGGCGAAATTTCCTTCAGTTTCGTTAGTTGAGCTGTACAGCCTTTGGAGAAAACTATTCCATTTCTCTTGGTTTTGTGTAATGCTTCGCCAACTGTGATTAACCATACTAATGTATTAATAACTTTTTTCCGTTCGAATTTTACACGGGTTGAATTACCGTTAATAGCTGCTATGATGAGTACGAACTGTCTTGGACTGCTTGACTGACGACATTCAATTCCTCGTTTCTGACGACACGATTGCGTCTGATCCTTTCTAGATGTTATAAGTTCGGAAGTGGATACATCTTGCTGATTCGGATTTTTTATTGACTTTCGAACTTGGATCAATTTTGTTCCGTTTCACAAGCCACACAAAATAACTTTTTATCCGAACCAGGTACATTTGCAAAATATACTGATTATGAAATGCCATATCGGAGCTAGATAAAACATTTTTGATCAGTATCAGAGTACAGAGCTACAGGTATATACAGTATGTTCATGTTCTTATTCTAGGTGAAGAAGACGTTGGGTGATTCTACCAAATATCAGATCTTTTTGCGTCTTGTTGCGCTGTACAACTTCGAAGTTGTATCCAAGGTCGATCTCCTGGGATCTTTTCAAGAGTTGTTGGGCGATAACCCTGAACTGCTGAAGTTCGTGAAGAACTTCGTCAAACATCCAAAGAATTGGCCTTCCGTTGCATGTGCCGAGGGAACCAAGAAGCATTCCACAAGAGACAAGACGCCGATTCGACATAGTGTTGAAGATGCGCCTAGTGTGGAGCTTGAAGCTGGAATAAAGTCTGCGGATGAGCCTGCAGTGGCAAAAGTAACTCCGAAAATTGAAGGCCCGGGAATTTGGATGAACGGCAGGAGCACACGCTATAGTGAAAGAGACCTGGGTGAGTTTTTTTTTTTTTTTCGCTATGAATTCTGTCCCGCGTACATGTATAAGGGTTAATGACTGACTTCTCATCCTCTACCTTCTCGAATAGACTTCAGTAACGCGCGGAGGCTTGGAGCAAGTTACTGCGAGGTGCCTAAAGAACGACAAAGAGCTGAGAACTTCTCAAACTATACTCCGCTGTGTCGGGAAGTGCTGAATCACGAATGGGTTTCGTTTCCTTCGTGGTCTGAGGACTCCACTTTCGTGTCCATGCGCAAAACGCAATACGAGGAATACATTTATCGCTGTGAAGATGAGCGATATGAGGTTCGTCAATGAACCTGTAATCTATTGAAGGCTGTGTGTTTCTCGTTGAATAGTAACGGCCTAACGACCTTTTGTGGCTTGCAAGGGACTTCAGTATTTTTTTAAGTGCTGTTGGTAAAATTCGCGGAGAACTATTTACTTGTTCGATGAATTGTAGTTTGGTCCAATTACAGTACTGTAGTTCCATAATTCTCCCTTTTAGCTGGATATGTTGATCGAGACAAACAAGCGTGCGATAGATCACTTCGAAAGGATCTTGGAGAACGTGCACAAAATGTCACCCGAGGAACGGAGTGGATATTGTCTGGATCCAAGCCTCGGTGATAGAATACCTGCATTACTCAGGAAAGCAATTGAAAGGTATCCCATCCATTGAGCTGATATGTTTGAAAGGTTATTCGAGCAGAATATTGGGATTTGCAGGTTGTACGGTCGCGAAAAAGTGGCCGCTTGCGTCGACGCTATCATGAGACGACCGGAGAAAGCTCTTCCCGTTCTGCTCCAAAGGATGAAAAACAAGGACCTGGAATGGAGAGAAGCTCGGCGGGTACGATATTATTTATTTTCTAATTTTGTTCCCTCGTTTAAAAATTTAATTTTTTTCTATATTCGATGCCCTAGGGATTCTTGAAAACGTGGCGGGAACAAAACGAGAAATACCACTACAAGGCGATGGACCATCAAGGTATCAATTTCAAGCAAATTGACAGCAAAAAGCTGAGATCGAAGGCACTCTTGAGTGAGATTGAAACCCGTTACGACACAAGGAATGAAGAGGTTTGTTTGTATTTTTCTCGTGTATTTTTACCAACGCGTTGTTATTTTGCATGTTCTACGATGCTTTTCTACTACACTAACTTTGCTACATGAACTAAATTATCTTATCTCTTCGACTGCGATATTTGAAAGTTCATGTGACAAAATGACGTGAACATTCATTCTACCGGGTTGAATAAACAAATAAGTTCAGCTTTGAATATAGAGCGATATTACGATTTCTTTTCTCTCGTGAGTCGTGAGAATATTTTCTGGAATTTTGCTGGAAAGATGAGAGAATATGATCCATATTCGGACTGTTGAAAATGCTTGCTTCTCGTTCCAGGCAGAGAAAGCTGGTCGAGAGCCCGGAGTTGGCCCACACATGCAACTGTCGTACTGTGATGCACACACGTTGGATGACGCTGCCACTCTTCTGCTCCATCACGCCAAACGACAAACAGCTGCAGCACCGCATAAAGAAGACCGACGCAAAATGCGCCGAGTTGTTGAGCATTTTCTTCCACAGCTGTTCTTTCGAGAGCAGCCAACATCAGGAGGGTGGAGTTTAGAGGATTCAGACGCCCGGGATGATGACGAACATTCCGGTGAAAATGGAACAGAAGATGTAAAAGATGTTCCAAAGTCTGTTATCGGAACGGATCTGACGAGTGAGAAAGTCGTCGCAGGGCTTGAGATCATTGGCGGAAAGAACGGGACGAGTTTGCGAGCTCAGAGACCACTCATAGCAAGGTTGGAAAATGCCATGTCTACGAAGCCTCAGCCCGTTGGCCCCGTGATCAATGAAGTCCGTTCATGTGTATCTGTGAGTAATCTGGTTGATCCTAAATGATCGTTGCTCATCGTAGAAGGAATTTCGGCACTTCTTTGAAGTAGTATCTGCATTTCTTGAAATGAAAATCAATCTCAGCGTTGGTGTGTGGATGATTCGGTACGCGTAATCACTTGCCGTACCGTAAAAGACTTTAGTGATACTTCTCGGAAACTTCTTGGTGCTATTCGAGAATTTTTGCCAGAGCTGTGCTTCACAGGAGCGCATTGTCGTGGGAAAATGTATAAATCATTCAAGCCTGAAAATTATCACTCTTGCTAACGCGCATGGAATTCTTGAATGAGACCACAGATTTTTAATTTCGCCCGCTTTTACAGGTCTCGAATTTTTCCTGCTTTTGAATACATTTTCGAAATTGGATTGCATTTCATGATTCGTCCGTGTGTTTTGATGAGATACTTCGCCACGAATTTGTTGATATCTATTTTGTTCTTTTCGTCACCACGCATGTTTCCAGGCGGATGAATACCGGTTATTTATGTGCAACAACTATTGGTACCTGTTCCTGCGGTTGCATCACATGCTCTGTGAGCGGCTGAAATACGTTTACCGTGAGGCGTCGAAAAGAGCCGAGGAGGCGGAAGCGGAGCGAATACGTGGACACAAGAATGAGCCTGCGGCGGAGATGCTCGGCATGCGACCTAAAAGTCAGTAATGATTCTTCGTGTTTCGGGAACATTCTTCTCCAGTCTTTCAAGTACTGTATCTGCGATAGGAAGTTAAAGAAAAATTCACGGTAGCACTAGGTTTTCTCGAAATTTGCGTTCACGTGGGGAGGTTCCTTCCGGATAAAACAAGAAAAGCTACTCTCGAGAAGGCACCTTTCTGGTTTGAAGTATTCATCGATTCAATCTCGTTCTGGCTCCGATATTCGTTTAGAATATTTTATAGATTCAGAAAATTGATCAATATTTAATTTCTTGTCTGACCAATAAGTTCACTTGAAGACGCGTCCGAATACACATCTCACATTATTTTTGCAGGAGAGATTGACGTTGAAGATTATTACGTCGCATTCCTGGATATGGTGAAAAGTCTACTGGATGGTACGATGGAGACAAATGCTTTTGAGGAAACCTTGCGGGAAATGTTTTCTACTCGTGCATACCTTGTCTTCACCATTGACAAAATTGTTGTCAATGCAGTGCGGCAGGTAATCATAAAATCTCTCTCGTCGTTTTAGTTTATTAATGGGTTTTCGTATTTTCTCTTAGTTGACGCACATTGTTACCGATCGGACGAGTCAAGAACTGATGCGTATATTCGAGACGGAACGTAAGCGTGGCAATGTGGGTGGTCTTAATGCCCACCTGCTCTCTCCATCACCAAACGATCATCCGTATCAGAAACATGTCGAAGGAGTCCTCGCGGATCAGAACTGTTTCAAATTTATCACGGTGAGTGCCTGTTTTAATTTGTATGTTACCTGAGCGATTACGATGATGAGAGTATCGAATCTTCTTTCCCCGGCCTATAACCGCTAATTATCGAGCGAACCCGTGAGGAGAAGCGATTCTTCTGAGAATTCCCGTGATGAGCGATTGTGCCATACGGAAGAAAACTATTCGTTGAATACATTACCGTGTTACGAATTTTAAGTTACGAAGTCCTGGAATATACTGTACTTCAATTCACAAAATGTGTGCTCGTGAATTGATGCAGCTTCGGTTTTCATAGACGAAAGATGCGTTGAAAATGAGCATCGAATTGATTGACACGGACACCGTCGAATGGGAAGAAGAGGAGGAAGAGAAGGAGGAAAAGACGATGCAAGTTGAACGTTGGGAAGACTACGTTGACAAGTACCTCGAGGAGACACATCCTGCCGTTCCTACCGTCGAGCTCTCTTCCACTGACGCGTTGGAGGCTGGAAAGGACAAACCAGTATCTGAGGGGCCGCAGCGCACTGTCTTGAAGGAACTGAGGCGGTTGTTGTGTAAGAAGCCGTTGTTCTTGCCGAGAAATGCTCGCGGAGGACGAATGCGGAATTGCAACAAACGTATGACTCGTTTCGACGAAGCCAATGTTGCTCCGGCAGCATCCTGCACTCTTTCGTCTTCGTCGGTTTCTCCTGCGGACCGGGACGAGAGTGAACCTTCGCCTGTGAAAAAACCTCGGAGGGACAATGGGTGAGTCGTTTCGAGCCGGATGCCTGAAAAAGAGTTGTGGTGTGTCTGATAATGGCTTCCATTCAGAATTATTTTTCTGAAAAGTTGAGTGACGAAGTTTCCCTAGATAATCTTTGCGCTACGGCCAATTGGTTCCCAATTGATAAAAAATGAACGCTGAAGTGATGATTGGATTTTGGAGCAATATTGAATGACTAATCCTAACAGCGAAAATTATCAGTAAAGAGGAAAGTAATTCCCAAATTAATCACGAATATCAAAATGTGCAGCAATATTTGGAGCTATAAATTCGATTTGTTTGAAGGCCCATCAATTTTGCCATCAACCATTCGATGTAGGGTTCTCTGTCCCGATCAAAATTGTCGGTGTTGTGTCCATTATTCGGATGACCGGCTGAAAAAAATTTGATTTTGAACGGTTAAATTTCAACGCTCATTTTATGTCGGAACATCGATTTATAGTTCTTTTTTCGATACAGAGAATTTATGTTTGATGAAGTTAACCACAAAGTCGGTGACGACGTTGGCACTGGGAAGCGCACAATGAAGTACCTCCTGTATCGACCACGTTCTCTACAAAGGGCACGCGAGGTAATTCCTTTGTCTTGTCCTGTTATTACAGTATTCCAGCGATTCGATCGATTTCCTCACGCAAAAACGCCTTATTTTTCTCCTGTTCGAGACTTCTATTCGGGAAAAGCTGCGAGATCTTGCATTTGAATTCCAGCTTGAAATTCGTTGTTCGTGCGAAATTCGAGATGTGCAGACCGAGCTGGTTAGGTTTGCTATTTCTGTAATCTTATGATAGCCGAGTGAAGCGGCGTTTCCTGAGAAGATCGATCACATCCGCGTGTCGAGTTGGTCATTTCTGTGAATTCCTTCGGGAGATTTTATAACTGAAAATATCAGCATTTTCACATTTATTGTACATGTGTTGTTTCCGATGAGCGTTATTTGTTTTAAAGAAATTGAGTCATATCGTGAAGCAAAATCAATTCCTGTCACCCAACTTTTTTTTTTAACTTTTTTCTCGAAAGGGAAAGTTATAGTCCTCGTAGTTGTTTCGTCGCGATTCACGCTATGTTGAAATCGAAGGAGGCTTTTACAGCTGCAAGCGGTCAACATTCATGTCAAGCCCTCCTCAGAGAAGGTGGCTTGTTGTGACGGAAGCAGAGCGTGACCGTTGTTCTGTGTTGCCTTCTTTGCAGGTGCATCAAAGCGTGTCGGAGAGGCTGAACGGGAAGTTTCGCAGCTGGCACAAGGAGTGGTCCAAAGAGAAAGTGCCCGAGGAGCAACAGCGGCTTTGTTCAGACTGGCTCCTGGGCAAACTTGACGGCGTGCGTCCGCATCGCACTAAGGTGCTCACCCTCAACGAAAACCAACGCCCGCCGTACTCTCCTTACAATCGCTACAAAGTCGATTGGCCGTCACCGAGCCCACCGACGCCGAGCTGATAGTGAGTTCAAATGAGCCGCTAATGAGACGCCAGTCGTTTCGAGAGCCATGTTTGTTCATTGCGGGAAAGGTGAATCGGGATCGAATGCCAACGGTTCTTGTCTAACCGATTGCCACGTCGGGTTTTTTTTTTTTTTTTTTTCCTGGTCGGCCGTTTTTTNGTTGGGTTTTTTTTTTTTTTTTT